TCACTTTCCTAAATGATGCTGTTCTGTTGTTCAGCCCCGGGTTAAGCAGGATGTCCATTCCCTTTGGCCATGTAAATTTCATAAAATCATTAAAGTTGGAAAAGTCCACTGAAATCTCAAGTCCAACTGCCAACCCATCACCACCCTGTCCACTCAACCACGTCACAGAATCATAGTCATAGTAATCATAGTAAGGTTGGAAAAGACCACCAAGATCATCAGGTTCAACCGTCAAACCGTTTCTTGCTGTTCTGAGCTCAGATTAATTAATTAAGTAATGAGGGTAAGGGACCATGGAGAGAAGCTCCCTTGTTTTTGCCTGTGATCACAAGGATACAAACACACCCCTGAGGAGTTGTGTCACTATGAACTACAGATACCGCTGTGCTGAAGGCAGAGATAGTCATAAACCCATGCAACTCTGCTGTGCTTAGGAGAGCTCAGTGAGAAGCAGAAGGCAGAGCTGGAGCAGAGCCTGCACCGTGTGAAAAGCCAGGAGTGTGAGCTGGGCATGCTCAGGGGGAAGCTGTTGAAGATGTCAGACCTCGTGGCGAAGAAGGATCGAGAGCTTCAAGCAGCAGCTGCAGAGTTAAGGTAGGACCTGTTGGGAGGTGATGGCCTTTGGATTCCCAAGAGTTGAGTGCGTGTTGGTAGCTTCCATGGGGCAAAAGATAGGTTTGAGTATGAACAAATCAAGCTAAGCTACGTTAACTCTATGGAAATGTCCCACGTTCTGAAGGTGAGATGGTGAGGAGGTTGTGCAAATGGACTTGTAATGAAACCCCTGCTTGGTGCTATGCTCTGACATACACCATGGTTGCTGTCCTGGTTGTTGCTCCGTGCAAGCCATTGTGTTGACCCTCATCTGCCACAATTGTACTGCAGTGCTTTTGTCTCTTGGCACAGGAAAGCCCAAGAAGATTGCAGAGCACTCAAGGATGCATCTCAACGAATGGCAGAAGAGCTGGAGATGCTTACACAGGCACAGGCTATTCCTGCCACACCAGAGGAATCTTCTGAGCAGGTAATCCCACAGGGACCCTTTAGAAAAGTCAGGTGTTGTGTATGCTAATGGCGGTTGTAATTGGCAATTAGAGTTGTAACAGCTCCCTGAACGATCTGTAACTCTTCCATCCCTTTCCCAACCTTGCTCCGCAATGGATGTCGGCAAAAGTAGGTTGGGGTTAGTGTGTGGGAGCCGTATTTTGTTGTGCAGGAAAGGGAGAAACGCTCCTAGTTCTCCCATGCTGTGCTGAATCACCATCTGAATTCCTGAGTCTTAAAGAACTGAATAAATCAAAGGTGGTTCCAGCAGCAGATGGAGGGACTGCAGAAATGGTACAGCCTGTACCGCAACAGCGGCAGACGTGGTGCCAGCTGGAAGGGTTCGTGTTGGCCAAGCGGTGACTCATGGCTAGATGGGAGCAGGAGGCACTGCCTTCCTCCTTCTCAGCAAGAGGTGGTGAGAAACACGAAGCTAGAAATCCTCCAGAGGAGAATAAATTCCTACTGCGCTGTGAAGATGGCGAGACCAAGGCGGCGGCTGGCAGCTCTCATTAGGGTTTTAATTGGGAGCTCACCTACAGTGTTAGTCGTCATGCTGGTGGGGCTGGGAGGGTGAAATGTGAGTGGGAATGCACAGATGTGTTATAAAAGGGAATAACGTGTGAGATTGAGGATAAATGGTTGGGTTGGGTGAGAATCACCCGGGCTTGGAATTCCAGGAGCTGGCGTTGGACCTGGCCAACCTGGGTGTGAGATGCAGAGGCCTCAGGCACGAGGAGACGATCCAACGACAAAAAGAAGGCTTGGCAGAGCTCCGGGAAAGGATCAAGGTGCTGGAGAAGACACAGACTGCTGGTAAGCACAGTGTGATGTGCCTTTGGTAGGAATGGAAGATGCAAGTCTCAGAGCCAGTGTTGCATCATAGAATTGGAATGGTTGGGTTGGAAGAGACCTTAAAGGTCACCAAATTCCAACCCAAAGCCATGGGCTGGTTGCCCTTCCACCAGATCAGGCTGCCCAATCCAACCTGGCCTTGGGCATCGCCAGGAATGGGGCATCCTCAGCTTCATGATTGCATGGTGTTTGGTTTCCTTCAGCTGTCATGGGCAGGGCCAGCGAGCTGCTCGTGGTACAGAAGGCAGCCCTACCAGAGAAGGTCGCCCAGAAAGCAGGACTCAAGGTGGAACCAGCTCCACTGCCAGGTGCAGAATTCAAGTGCAGCAAGGTAAGAAGACATTGGTGTAAAGATGTTCAATGGAATGGGAAGATCAAGCCCTTGGGATACAAGAGGGAAAAGAAAACAAGAGGGAGGCATGGGGCCTGTCAGTGTGCAGGGAGCTCAATCAGCATGTCACTTCCGTGCAGTGTCTGGGCCAGCTTCCTGATGGCAGCTCACGTGGGGCCGTGAGCATGGAAGTGTTGGAAGACTCAGAGCTCAGCGAGAGGATGGTACGTCGGCAGCAGATGTGGTAAAAGAAATCATTGAAGCATGGAATGGTCGGGTTGGGAGGGACCTCCAAGATCATCCAGTTCCAACCCCCTGCCATGGACTGGTTGCCCCCCACCAGATCTGGCCTGTTCTTGGCCTTGGGTACCTCCAGGGCAAGAAGAAGTCTTCTAGGTACAGCAGGAGTGCCAAGCATGGCATGGCCCTGCCCCGGGAGCCTGGAACGCTCCATAATGTGGAGCATCATCTTCCCAGTGATCAAATGAATGAACCCATCTGGATAATTCCTTAAGAGGGGAAACAATGTAGAAATGAAACAACTGGGAGTGCACAAATAGGTTTACATGCAGCATCTGAATCTCTCAAAAGATGAAAGCGGAGTGGGAGCAGATGGCTGAGTGCAGCGATCGTTTTTGAAGTAAGACTTGGCAGGCCTGGTAAATAATTCATCCCCTATTCTTTTTGCAGTACCTTGACTTAATCTGTGCTCTGGGAAGGCTGATGAATATGAAGGAGCTGGAAGGAATGCAGCCCATGGAGCATCTTCCCCAGGAAGAAAGGGAAAAAGTGGGGCAGCAGAGACAGAGGGAACTGGGGCTGTTGTATGAGAGGATCAGCAAGCTGAAGGATCGCCTGGAAAGGAAAGAGGAAAGGATCCAAGAGTACGAGGCCAGCATCGAGCAGCTCAGGTACAGCAAGGTGAAGGGGCCATGGGAGTTCTTCCCAGGAGTGATGGTGTGAGAGCCTGTAGCACATGGTATGGCTTAATGGGGCAGCAGGAATCCCTCCACAACCCCGTTCCATGGACGCTGGGCTCTGCTTTGGGTATGTTGGAGATGGGCTCTGAAATGCCAGGGAAGGGACCACAGCCAAGGCAGTATCAATGGTGTGTCCATATGGGGTCCACAGGGGGAAAACCACGAATGGAGGTTTCATCTTGGTCCAGGCAGGAAGAGAGGGGCTGGGGTAGTGGTGAGAGACCCACACTGGTGTTTCCCAAAGGCTGAACCAAGAGTCTCTGCAAACATGCCAGAAAGAGATGCTGAGACTGGAAGATGAAGTCTACAGGGCAGCAGAAGAGAAAGCTCTGCTGAGAGAGGCTCTGGAGAGGATGAAGGCAGAGCTGGGCCAGGAGAAGAGGTTGAACCAGGCAGCACGGCAGCGCAAGGTGGGAGTGCTGGGGTAGGACACGTCAGTGTGAGAACAACCAAGGCAGCTCCTGCAAGGATGCAAAGATGATTTTCCATTTTTTATCCAGAGCCTTGCTGAGAATGGGGAGAAGAGAAAGGAGAAGGAGCTGCCCAACCGTGCCCGCTCTTCCAAAGAACGAGGAGGGAAGGTATGGCATGCTGGTACACACTGAAAGCAAAGCACAGTGGGACTTGGAAGCAAAATGTCCACGGCCACAGGGTGCATATCTCATGTAAGGGGATGATGCATGGTTCTGTGCCGTGTTCTCTCCCAGATGGCCACACGTGGCAGGCCTGGCCATAGCCAGCCCTGGAGGTGTTCGTTGTGGAGATGTGGCACTCAGGGATGCAGTCAGTGGGGTGGGTTGGGGTTGGACTGGATGATTTCTCAGAGATCTTTTCCAACCGTAATGATTCTGTGATTCTAAGTTTCTGCAATGTCTGCCTTGCAGCCCAGAGCCCAACAGCCATCCCTCTTGGTGAAGGTGAAGTCAAAGGAGCGTGTGGTGGGAGAGCTCAAGGTGATGGGCAGCACATAGGAGCAGCACCACGGGGACATTCTGCTCACAGAGCTGAACAGCAAGGAGCTGTGTTGGGGTTGGACATGGCACACCATGTAGGCATGTATCTGGGGGAAGAATGCCTATGTGAGGCCATCCCACATCCCAGGACTGCTGGAGGGACTGTGACATGCCCAGGGCCAAATGATCCTGCAGAATGTGTACCGTAGAGCTTAGGGAAGTGGAATAAGACAGGTTATGTAAATACAGCCAGAATGTGTGGGTGAAGCTGATGGTGTCAAGTCTGATCTCTGTGCCATGGCGGCTCCTCCGTCCCCACAGCATCATGGGGGCACATGGAGAATAAAAGAGGGGGCAAGAGGGAGAAGCTGGAACAAGGCACTGCGAGATGGGAAAAAGGCAGAGAAGGAGCTGTGCTCACCCTACAGCTATGTGGCATTGGAACGTGTCTGGGGAGAGCAGAGCCATGTCTGTGCTGAGTGGGACATGGTGCTCATGGTATCCAGTGGGGTGCAATGGGCAGCTCCTGGTGCAGGTTTTCGGATCGGGTGCTGTCCTGTAGATCTGAGCATGGTTGTGTTCAGCTTTGGGACAACCCCTGGCTCCAAATACTGTGGACACAGAGCTGGAAGCCCATCCATGCCCTTCGTGCACCCGTATGTCTGCAGGGGCTTTGGGTTGGGCTGTGCCATTCGTCTACCACTAAACAACGTATGGAGCTGATGCTGGTGGGTCCCTAAGGGGGGGAACCCTCGCAGGCTGACAACCCCCGAGCCTGGAGGTACTGGGGTGCCCCGAGAAGATGCGTCCCCCCCTTTGCTAGGCGGCTGCTGGGGCGGAGCGGGGCGGAGCTGCGTCTGTTCGCCCATCCATCCATCCGGGCACCATGGCGGAGGAGCTGGCGGAGCGGCTGGGCCGACGGCTGGGGATGCGGGAAGGGGATGCGGAGCAGCAACAGCAGCAGCAGCAGGATGCGGAGCCCACCCCGGTGCCTCCTGGCAGCCCAGCGATGCGGGCGGTGGGCAGCGAAGGTTCGCCCGGGGGCGGTCGGAGGCTCTTCAGCCCCGCGGCGGAGTTCCGTGAGTTCTCCCGGCGGCAGCTCCGTGACATGGAGAGACTCTTCCGACAGTGAGTGTGGAGGGGAAACCCCCCCCACGGGTCCCCCAGGAGAGACCCCGGGGAGGGAGCACCGGGCAGAGGGTCTCCATTGCCCCGATCGCATCCCCTGTGCTTTGGAAGCCTGAAGCCCCTGGTGGGGGACTGGGGGGGGGGGGGCGGTTTTGGAAGCCCCCAGCCCCTTTGCAGGACCCGCCCAACCCTTGGCTGATGGTGGGAGGGGTCCTTTGGACTCCTCTGCAGAGGGGATCTCTGGGGCTCCCTCACTTCCTTGCAGGGGGCTCCCCTCATCTTCTCATCCCTGGGACCCCCTCTTGGCTCCCTGTGGAAGGAATCCATGGGACCCCCCCTTGGCTCACCACGATGCCTCCCCATTTCTGCGCAGGAGTTGAATCTCAGGACCCCCTCTCAGCTCCTTGCAGCCATTCTCCCACCCTACAAACTCTTTCAGAATGGTACCCCTTGATGCAACCCCTTGATGCAGAGAGGACCCCAGGACCCTCAGAGCAGTCTGGAAAAGGGACACGGGACCCCCAAGCCCCAGGACCCCCACCTGGCCATGCACAGGGCTTTGGGCTGCGGCAATAGTGTTGCCACATCCTCGGTGCCATCCCCACGTGTCCCCACGTGTGATGTTGCAAGCTTGGGTCAGTGAGCTCAGTCAGCCGGGGGGAGAGGGGGGGGAGCTGAGCAGAAAGGCGTGGAAATGTGCAGGGGGAAAATAAGGGCTGCAGAGGGAGGGGATCAGCCCCCCCCCCAGCCCTATGCACTGTGCAGCGTGCGGCCGTGGGTGCTGTGCCCGTGGGCAGATGGCAGCAGCACGGGGTCTGGTTGCAGAGCAGGACGTGCACGCCTGCACGCACCGCGGCGAGAGGAGCAGCACAGCGGCTGCAGGGCTGCAAGCAAAGGGGGGTCACCAAGGGGGGAGCACGGGGATGGGGTGATGGTGTGAGGCTGAGCCAAGCCCCTGCCTCGCTGCATGCATGGTTTGTCCTCTCTCCCACCTTCCCCCGCTGCGTTAAAGGATTGCGACGCAGGAGAGCCCACCCCAGTGGATGCAGAGCTGCAGCCAGGGGCTTGCTTTGCAGCAGTGAAGCTCACAGCCATGCGATGCCAGCAGGAAAGCACGAGGTTTCTGTGCTGGGGCACAGTGTGAGCTGCACCATGCTGCGGCTGCGGGGACAAATGAGTCACAGCCCCGCAGAGCTGCATGTCGCTTCCTGTAGGCTGAGCAAGGAGAAGTCGAAAGTGCATCCTATAGAGCCCAGCTCAGTTCTATAGGCACATAGGGTTCACCCCTTTGCTGCACGGAGCTGGTGGCACACTTGGCAGCAAGCTGCTGGGTACCTGTGCCAGAAACCACACTCAATGGGCAGGGAGTGCTGAGGATGCTCCTGGGAACCATTAGTGGTTGGATAGAACCAGCAGTGGTTTGGCACAGCAGCCCAACGCGACAGTGAGGATGTGCCCCGTGATGAGGATTTACCACCTCCCTGCAGGTATGACGCAGGGAAGGATGGCTTCATTGACCTGATGGAGCTGAAGCTGATGATGGAGAAGCTGGGAGCGCCGCAGACCCACCTGGGCCTGAAGAACATGATCAAGGAAGTGGACGAGGACCTGGACAGCAAGCTGAGCTTCCGTGAGGTGAGCGCAGGGGTTGGGTTGTGGCTGTGTCCCTTGGCGAGGAGATGGATGGCACATCACTGATGGTGATATCCCACCCCATGCTGCAGTTCCTGCTGATTTTCCGCAAGGCAGCAGCAGGTGAGCTGCAGGAGGACAGCGGGCTGCACGCACTGGCACGGCTCTCTGAGATTGACGTCTCAACGGAGGGCGTGAAGGGAGCCAAGAGCTTCTTCGAGGCCAAGGTAAGCATTGAGCAACACAGCAGCAACCATTGGGCGTTGGGTACTTGACCAACGTGCCACCATACTGCACGCAATGGGGACAGGGCCAATGTGTCACCATCCCCAGGCACAGGCTGTCACCGAGGGCAGCCGCTTCGAGGAGGAGATCCGTGCAGAGCAGGAGGAGAAGAGGCGACAGGCGGAGGAGATGAAGCAGCGCAAGGCAGCCTTCAAAGAGCTGCAGTCAGCATTTGCTCAATGACCACAACACGTGGAAGGAGCCACGCCACGCCGTCACCATTCCCTGCGTGTCATCATGCCCATGACTCGTGCCAAGCTGGTGGCAGCTGTCACTGTGCTTGGTGCCACGGAGCAGGCGGGTGCGCCCATCCCACTGCACCCCAACGTTGGGTTGGAGGTGGCCTTGGCTCCCCTTGGGCTGCTGGCTTATTTTGGAGAAAGACGCCCATAAAGGCCACCGAGGGGAGAGAAGCTTTATTTTTTGTGTGTCTGTCCTCTAAGCACCCGAAGGGACGGCGTCTCACGTGCTGTCCCTCCAGGAGTGGTTGTGCCGATGACTGTGATGTCCCATGAAGGTGTTGTCTCAACAGCTGCTTCCATTCTGTTGTATGGATGTGTTGTTTGCTGTGTTGTTTTTTTTTTTTTCTTTTTAAATCCCAAATAAATATTATATTTCCTAAGTGTTGTGCTTACCCATGCCCAGGGTTGGGTGTCAGAGTGGGACCCCCACGTCTCCTCATGACTGGGTACACGGTCAGGGCCACATCTGTGGGGTTGTACATGGGACAAGTGTATCTGTTCCCAGGTGGGCTGTGCTGTTCTGATAAGAAATAGCACAAGGTGGGCATGCAGACTGTGGGATTTGGCCACCTGTTACCAGGGGGAAGGCCACATGCCCAAGGGCAGGAGGTGGCACAGACAACATATAAGACGGTGGGCTCCTTGGTTCTGGCACACTGGAAGCCTACAACCATGCTGGGAGCCGTGTGTCTTGCCGTCCTGCTGGGCTATGGTGGGTGAGGGCATGAGGAGAGGGGTGTCTGTGGGGCTGGGGGCCGTGCCCATGCTGATGTCCCCATGCTGGGTGTCTCACAGCCTATGGATGTGGGCAGCCGGCAGTGCCACCGCTGTTAGGCTCTCGCGTGGTGGGAGGTGAGGATGCCCGTGCTCACAGCTGGCCGTGGCAGGTAAGTGGGGACCGTGTGCCACCTGGGGTCCGTCCCCACTGTTGGTGGCACAGGGATGGGTGGCCACCACCCATCGTGACTCCGTGCCGTCGTCCAGATCTCACTGCAGTACAGCCGCAATGGTGACTGGAGCCACACCTGTGGAGGAACCCTCATTTCTCCCAGCTGGGTGCTGACAGCTGCACACTGCATCAGGTAGGGTTGGGGGGCATCCATGGGGGACAGAACCCCACGTCTGCCCCCATGCTGATGGCCATCGGCAGCTCCACCCTGACGTACCGCGTGGTGCTGGGAGAGCACAACCTGGCAGTGGAGGACGACGGTGCAGTGGTGGCTGAGGTGGAGAAGATCGTTGTGCACGAGAAGTGGAACTCCTTCCTCATCATGTAGGGCAGCAAAGGGGGGAGGGAGGGGGTGTGCCAACCCAAGGTTGGGTGCGGGGATGGGTCTGGCAGTGGGCTGGTGTGGGGTTAGCAGTGTTCTACAGGGTTTGGTTGGAGGCACTCTAAGGGGTTTGGTCAGTGGTGCTCTACAGGGTTTGGTTGGTGATGCTCTACAGGGTTTGGTGGAGGCACTATTGGATTTGGTTGACAGTTCTCTATGAGGTTTGTTTGGTGGTGCTCTACAGGGTTTGATTGGAGATACTCTATGGGGTTTGGTTGGTGGTGCTCTACAGGGTTTGGTTGGAGACACTCTATGGGGTTTGGTTGGCGGTGTTCCACAGGGTTTGGTTGGAGGCACTATTGGGTTTGGTTGGTGGTGCTCTACAGGGTTTGATTGGAGATACTCTAAGGGGTTTGGTTGGTGGTGTTCTACAGGGTTTGTTAAGTGATGTTCTACGGGGTTTGGTTGGTGGTGCTCTACAGGGTTTGGTTGGAGGCACTCTATGGGGTTTGGTTGGCGGTGTTCCACAAGGTTTGGTTGGAGGTACTATTGGGTTTGGTTGGTGTGCTCTACAGGGTTTGGTTGAAGGCACACTATGGGGTTTGGTTGGTGATGTTCTACAGGCTTTGTTAAGTGACATTCTACAGGGTTTGGTTGGTGGTGCTCTACAGGGTTTGGTTGGAGGCATTTGATTGGGTTTGGTTGGTGGCTCTCCACCGGGTTTGGTTGGCTGTGTTCTATGGGGTTTTGTCATTGCAGCAATGACATTGCATTGATCAAGTTGTCAGAGCCAGTGCAGGAGAGTGACACCATCCAGGCTGCCTGCCTGCCACCCAGTGGGCTGGAACTGGAGAACGGCTACCCCTGCGAGATCACTGGCTGGGGACGCCTCTGGAGTAAGAGGGGTGACCGCAGAGGGAACTGAATGGGGTCAGCATTGGATACGGGTGCAACTTGAGGCTGTCGTTGCAGCCAACGGGCCGCTGGCCGAGGTCCTGCAGCAGGCCCTGCTGCCCGTGGTGGACTATGCAACGTGCTCACAGAGCGACTGGTGGGGCGGCCTGGTGAGGACCTCCATGGTGTGTGCTGGTGGTGACGGCGTCGTCTCGGGATGCAACGTGAGTGAGGGGGCTGCTGGCCATCCCCAATGGCTGCGGTGAGGTTGGAAGAATGGAGATGGGGAGATTGTGGGGTGTATGGGTGTAACACGGCGCCCTGCTTGGGTAGGGGGATTCGGGTGGCCCCCTGAGCTGCCAACGGAATGGCCTGTGGGAGGTGCATGGCATCGTCAGCTTCGGCTCCTCCTGGGGCTGCAACACAGCCAAGAAACCAACAGTCTTCACGCGGGTGTCCGCCTACATCGACTGGATCAACGAGGTGAGAGCAGAGCTCTAGGGGCACGTTCTCTCCATCCTTCTCCACCTGGAGGTCTGACCACGGTTTCATCCTTTTGTCTTTGCAGAAAATCAGTGAGAACTGAGAATGTGCAGAGCTGATCACATACTGTGGTGTGCAATAAAGGGAAACAACCAGCCTTGTGTGCCCCTGCTGTTATTTGTGGGGTGTAAGGGGGGCATGTGATAGAGCCAGGGCCCAGCCCCTGAAGGGGGATGAACCCCCAGGGAGCTGAGTCTCTCCACTCTGCATTTCTTTAATCTTTCCTACACTGGAACAACTCTTTAATTTACAATTGCATCCCAGGGATGTGGGATGCAATTAGGGTGAAGGACAGTCATTCGTGCTATTGACAAGACTGACAGAAACATTTACTACTCTGAGTATTAGAAAAACAGCAGTTGCATAAACATCATTTACTGACTAACTCACAAATAACACGTTCCAAGGGGAAACAGATAGCAGCCAAAGTGCATAATAACTGTAGAGACTGTAAAATCTGGGATGTTCTTCTTAGTTTTACACCAAGATCACCAAGTCCAACCCCAACCCCTCCACCCCGTGTCCCTCAGTGACACACCTACAGCCACTAAACATTAAAACATGCCCTAACTTCCTGGTTTGATTGCCCAAAGATGGTTTTGGGGTACAATCTATAGCCCTTGGTACAGGGGATTGTGTACATCAAGGTCATGATGACAGTGCAACTAAGCTTTCCTAGAGCTAATGATATGTATACACTGAAGAAGGACACAAGAGAGAACAGAAGACAGAATACAAAGCACAAGGTTGTTTTTTTTTTTCCTTTTGGTTTTTGGTTCACTCAAACAGAAAAATCTCTTGTTGCAAAAATCATGTATTTCCATTGATTCCAGCAATTGATTCCATTGACTCCTCCAATCCACTGCAGTTGCACCAGGAAGGAGAGCACAGCCACAGCACAGCTGGAGGCCCTCACTCCACAATGGGATCACTGGGCTGGCACACTGGCACTGGGGATTCCAACACACATCCCTTCCCCCTTCCTATCACTGGGATAGAATCATAGGGGTTGGAAGGTACCTCTGGAGAGCATCAAGCCATACACCCCTGCTAAAGCATGTTCCCTACAATAGCTTGTCCCTGCAGGTTGGGACAGGGCCAGTCCTCATCTGGTTGATGCTTTATCCCAACGACAGCGCTCACAGATTGCATTTCTCAGGAGAGACCCCTCCAAAGCCAGACAGCAGTCACCAGGAGCACCTGGTTCAAGTCACAACTGGGACAGTTTTTATCCAGCCACAGGGAAGCTGTCCTTCACGTTGACTGGGACCTCGACAACCCCACATCATTTGCACAAGAAGAAGAATTTTTTACGTAGAAAGTTGAAACAGCCTGGGATCTGCTTGTACTTCCCCTTGGTGGATACAATGTCTGACACCTGGGAACAGAAGGTGCACTGCATGCTCAGTATCACAACCCTTACAAACTGCCTGCCTACCCTGACAGATGGAACCTCTGATTATTGCCCTCCTTGCTTTAACACTACAAAAATAAGGTTAAGAAAAAAGACATTTACCCGGAGTAACATGGTTAGCAGGTCTTCAGAACGGGCATGATGTTCCAGCACACTGTCCAGGGTTTCCACATACCACGAGCCACTCACCTTGTCCCTCCAGGACACAAAACCTTCAGAGAAAGGAGAAAATTGCTCTTGCAGTCAGTCTTGCTATGTCCTCACCTCCAACAGGTGGTTGCCCCTAACTTCAGTAGGGAACACTGACTCCTGGTGACACTGTGCTGTGGCACAGCAGTTTGGTGGTGGCTTTCTCCAAAATCCAGTTGCAGAATTACGATGTCTTGAGTACTGGCCAAGCACCCTCAGCACCAACTGCTTCTGCAAATCATTTGCCTGGTGCAGTTATCTCACAGAATGGCCAGGGTTGGAAGGAACTTCAAGGATCATGAATCTCCAACCCGCTGCCACGTGCAGGGCCATCAACTTCCCCATTTAATACCAGACCAGGCTACACAGGAAAAGTATCTCACCTGGAAAAGTTGAATAGGACACCAAGATGTCACCAGGAGTGGGCAAACTGGCAACAGCATCCGGCTCGTCCACACTCCCTGCTGGAGCCTGGAAAGGAATCGCATCCGACTCTACGGAACCTCGGCAAGTTTCATCTTGGGGTGATTCACAACCCACCTCAAATCCCTGGTCCTTTTGTTCTGCAAAAAAATGGCAGCAAGAACAGCTCTCGCTCACATCTGACACACTCTGCAGCCATACAACCTCTATTAAAAACTGTAGGGGAAAAAATCCTCCAACAAAACCTTTTCTGCTCTCTGACAGTGCTGCTACAGTCAGAGCCATCAGGCTACCCCCTAACCAAGCCCTTCCAACTAACCTCCCCACGTTCCTTCCAACCCAAGCCATTCTACAATTCTACCTTATTGCTAAACACAGAGAACAGGTGGAATGCTCCTGGATGTGGGGCATAGGATGCCACTACTGCCCTCCACCCATCTCACAGCCCCCACTCCGCACAGTGAAACCACCCCAGTGCATGATGAAACCACCAGTGCTGCCCTCCTGCAAGATGCTCCTGAAACTCAACCCATATTAGCATAAAAATACATGGTTAGGAATGCCAGAAAACACCTGGATAAAAGGGCAACAGACATGAAAGGAAGACGACAACAAAGCCTAACTGCATCTCACCAGCCTGCTCACACCTAACAGCTTATTGGCAACACAAAGATTCACCTCCTCCACAGGCCTGGATGAAGAAGAGTTTGGGTTTTCCTCTCAAACTTGGGCACTGGGACCCATTGAAATAGTTCACAATCTTTTCAATTGGAATGGTTTTGCCATCTGTTCCATAAATCCCTCCAGGAAACTGAATATGGCTCGTCTGGAAGAGGAAAATCCAAGAGCTGTTAACACAGAAGGAAAGGCAAGCTCAGAGGGAACCCGTCTCTGCACAAGTGTTCTCTCTCCCTCCCATCACTTTCTAGCATAAAGTTTCCAGAACAAACCTTATTTCCTCATATTTGTGCAAATATGCACACGGCAGCAGGGCAAGGGGGCTCCCAGCAGACAATACCCAGAAATCCAACCTCTCAATATAATCCAACTCCTATTCCACCTCCTCCAGCAATGGGATTCTTTATCCTCCAGGACAAGGGGTACATAACATACAACCCTTTTAGGAACAATTTATCTCCTCTCATCTAATTTCAAGGCCTATACCTTGTGATGATTAATCATGACTAACAACTCTCCAGGCAGAGCCAGAGAATCAGGAAGCATACAGTATGAAGGTCAGCACCACCTCCTTCTGCTCTTTGCCCACCACTCAGTTCTGATGTACAGATCCCACATTCAGAAGCTAACAACTTCTGACCAAAGGCCACCAACCTCTGGAAAGGCACTGCAGCAGAGAACCTCGTGTCTGCTTTCACCCAGATACAGGATCAGAACTCCCCATGATGTCAGAAGAGTACAAACCCACCTGGCAGCCATGGGAGAGGATGACCACGAGGCAGCAGTCCAGGGTGCTGTGGTCAAGCTGTGCCAGCTTCCGCAGCTCCAGATCAATTTCCTATATAAAAAACATCATGTTTTAAACTGCACACTGGCCACAGATTACTGCCAAGCCCTGCCCTATCAGACCCAGCTGGATCTCTGCTGCTTTCTGTCCAGTGAAAGCGTGATAACAGACACCCCACATACAGACCACAAAACCCATTGGCACAGAGTAAGACTAACATACATCACATGCAGGAATCACAATTAAGCCTGAAGAGTAACCAGGTCTTCCTCCTGCCACCCTCACCTGAGCTTTGAGGTTCCTCAGGGTCCGGACATGGAAGCACAAGGACTTGAAACGCTTCTCCAGCTTCTCACAGTCTATGTCAGAGCCAGCCCGAGCTGACAGATCAGAGTCTCTGCTGAAATTGACATTGTTGAAGATCAGGCAGTGCCCACAAGGGTCTGCTCGCAGCTGGTATACCTGGCATGCACAAGAGAACTTGTCAGTCACAATTAAACACCCCCTAATTCAGAGCATACACCGGCTAGTCCAGTGGAACACACTGTAAGCATGGAAGAGGAGTCTTTAAAGCAGCTCCTTTCACATCTCTAAGCCTAGGGATGGATAATAGTGTCTGTTCTGCATGCTCACATTATTAAAATGTGCAACCAGAGGAAAAAAATTGCTTAATTCACAGAAAAATGGTCACTACTTTAGCCACAAGGTTAGGTTTTTAGGTTGTTTAGGCACATTCATCAAACCTCACCATGAGATCCCAGGGAGCGTGCTCTAGGAGTAAAGAAAACAGGCAGATCCATCTCTTGGGTAGTCAGATTCAGCATCAACTCCAACACATTAATTCCGGGAGGGCCCTCCAAATTCCAGCCATGTGAACACAGCCAGACTCCCTGCCCTGCCTCAGGTATGAGTTGTGCTGTCAGAAAGCAGCACACACATTTCTGAATGCACAATGCCTGTTTCACTGTGAGCCTCCTAACGTGCAAAAGCTGCCTCACATGTTTACTGTTGTTTTCCCTACTTCTGTTTCCCAACACAGTGATTACAAAACCAAAACACTGCTTTACAAACAACACACAACTTGGTGCCTGAGGAAATCATTAGCTGTCTTGCTGGAAACTGTGTAAGCACCATATTTAGCTCCATGTCATGTTATTTGCAGCACGGTTCGTGTGATCCCAAGGAGGAGCTGGCTAATGATTGACCCACTCTGAGCACTGAGCCTTGGTTACAGCCACGTCAGCCTCAGCACCATTTCTCATGTCCCAGCACCAAGGACTGGCTGTCACAGCACTGTCACAGCACTGCTTTCAGCTGCAGCAGCTCTGGAGCTCTGTGCTGTGGGACTTCTTTAGTCCAGGTAGAAGTTTAAGCCATACTAAGATCTTTTTTTGGACACTCTGTTCTTTGCCTCGTGAGGGTGAATGCTTAAATATCTTCAGCCTTGCTCTGCCTTTTCAATTCTTAAAGCACAAGCTCCTTGCAAACAGAATTTCAGAGATGACTGGCAGCAAAGAACCCCAACACAATGACAAATAAACTGGAATAGAAGAAAAGTATCTAGGATACTAACCAGTCTGTGGTCACTCTTGTCAACAGCTGAACCTACAACACACAACAGAGAAATGGAGTTTAGCTCTTAGCACTCAAAAATGAGATGTTATACGTGTTCTTCACAGAATTAACACCAACTTTGTCCTGTCATCTGTCACACACGGGTGACACCCACCCCTTCCCACCCCACCCCGCACCAGAAGCAGTGTTTGGCTCTCATCTCTCAAACCACAAAGAGAAAGTGTGTCAGCAGTTACAGCCTGGACCTCAAGCACATGCTCATCCCCCACCTGGGACACCATACACTATTTAGTTGAGGTCACCTCCCACCTAGCACACATCTGAGCTGGTCTGCAATTCACAGAGACACCTAGCACTGTGCCAGGACAAGCAAGGAACTGACCAACAAGCTGTCAGACCTCCCTCAGAACTGCAGGACAATCCTTACCATGGGCTGGTGCTGGAGGCATCTGAAATTGCTGACTCTCAGCTTGGACTGGGATGGACAACCGTTCCGCAGTGCTCACACCTATAATGGCATGGGAAAGTCATCCCCCTTCTTCTACCCCTTCCAATTTCACATCAGAATTAAACAGCTCTGGTTCCCCTTAAGGACCACAGCTTGTAGCTACGCCACTGCAAGGGCAGAACAAAACCACTTCTGTTTTTCTCTTATTTGAATTCAGTGCGGTTTCTCATGACAGCTGTATGAACTGCATCAATTCAGTATGAACTGCCCTCAGAAAAAGGACAAAACAGGAGCAGCAAAGACACAGTGAAGCCCATTTTCAGCACAGTAGTACAAAGGCCGCATGTGAAAAGCAGAAGGAAGCTGCCAGAGCACAGCTGCAGCTTCAACACTTCTGCTACCAGAAAGCACAACATTCTCCCAACAAACTCATGTAGTCACCACTACAACCTGTGCCAGAGGATAACAAAACCAGGACTTCACTTTCTACAGCAAGAAGGAACCCAGCTGCTACACCCCATCCTGCACTTCAGCATAGAAAGAACCACATCCTCACTACTTACTTTTGTCACGCCTTTCTCCAGGCAGCTCCAGCTGCACAGGCCTCAGGTCCACAGGTGGGGAGACTGGGCTTCCACACCCTTCATCCAGCATGTCAGCCAGGTCACCATGCCCAGTGTCCCTCAGGATGGAGAGGAATATTGGGAAGGCCTGCTTCCCACGGGTCTCCAGGTCTATGACCAGCTGTCGTGCTTGTTCCCTTCGGGTGCCAGCACTCTGCAGAGGAGGGAAGGCAGGGTGATGCTTCCTGAGCCCTTCAGCTCTGCCACAGCCGACAGGAAACAGAAGGATGGTACTGGAACCCCTGGTTCCAGGGGATGGGAGGACTAGGGGACACCCCCCAACTTGACACCACAGGGATAAAAGACACTTTCTAAATCAGCTTGCCACCAGTATCATGGAGGGGAAACAAAGAGCACCATGCAGATGGCCAGTGGAGGAGACCAAGGAGCCCTGGGCCATGTCATGGGCATGGATGGGACACAGAAGGCACCAGGGCTCTGTCACCAGGCTGAGAGGGCGCAGAGGCCACTTGGGCTCTGTCACTGGGCTGGGATGATGCAGGGATTCCCAGGAACCTGTCAGCAGGCAACAGGGACACAAGGACCCCTGGGGCTGAGAGGATGCTGGGTCCCTCAGGGCTTGTTATCAGACTGTGGGAACACAGGTCCTTCCCAGGGCCTGCCATAGGGCGGGGGGAGGCAAGGGGACACTCTGGGTCCTGCTACTGGGTAGGCAGGGACGTGAGGATCACAGAATGGCCAGGGATGGTAAGGACCTCAAGGACCATGAAGCTCCAATCCCCTGCCACAGGCAGGGTCACCAACCTCCACATTTAGAAGCAGCCCAGGCTGCCCAGGGCCCCATCCAACCTGGCCTTGAACACCTCCAGGGATGGACAGGGCATCCACAGCCTCTCTGGGCAGCTGTTCCAGCACCTCACCACTCTCTCCGTAAAGAATTTCCCCCTGACACCCAACCTAAATCTGCCCTCCCTCAACTTCAAACCATTTCCCCTTGTCCTGCAGTTATCTACCCTTTCAAAGAGTTGATTCCCCTCCTGTTTGTAGGCTCCCTTTAGGTACTGAAAGGCTGCAATGATTCACCCCGCAGCCTTCTTTTCTCCAGGCTGAACAAGCCCAGCTCCCTCAGCCTGTCTTCGTAGTGGAGGTGCTGCAGCCCCCTGATCATCTTTGTGGCTCTCCTCTGGACCCTCTCCAACAGCTCCCTATCCTTCTTGTATTGGGACCCCCAGACCCGGACGCAGTGCTGCAGATAGAGCCTCACAAGAGCAGAGCAGAGAGGGACAATCAGCTCCCTGTCCCTGCTGGCCGCCCCTTTGCTGATGGAGCCCAGGATCCCGTGTGAGGACACCCCGAGCCCCGTCACCGAGCTGAGGGGACACGAGATCCTTTCACTGGACCGAGAGGACGCGAGACCCCCGGCGGTGCCCCGCAGCCCACCTGCATATCCTCCACCATAGCGCTGGTGAAAACCCCTCGGGCCTGCAGCGGCCCCCAAAGCGCCTCGGGCCGCAGTCCCTCCACCAGCCGCACCCGGCCGCGCCGCAAAGCGCGCCTCCGCTCTTCCTCCATGGCGGTCCACGTCACGTGACCGGAAGCGGAAGCGTCGCTATGGTGACGGCGGGCGGGCGCGCCGGAAGTGGTGGCTGCGGGGCTGAGGCCGGTGCCGGTGCTCGCCATGGCGCTGGGCCGCGCGGGCCCGGCCGGCCTGCTGCTGGTGTTGCTGCTGCTTCTGGCGGCGCAGGCCGCGCCGGAACGGGACCCGTACCGCGTGCTGGGCGTGGGCCGCTCCTCCAGTCAGGCCGACATCAAGAAGGCGTACAAACGGCTGGCCCGGCAGTGGTACAGAGCGGGACCTGCGGCTGGGGGGAGCGGGGAGGGGAGGCCTGGGGGCACGGCAGGGGGTAACGCCTCGTCCTTCCAACCCCGCTCCAGGCATCCGGACAAGAATAAGGACCCGGGCGCTGAGGATAAGTTCATCCAGATCAGCAAGGCCTACGAGGTAAGGGAGAGGCGCTGCAGAAAGGAGAAGGGAACGGGGCTGAGCGCGGTCTGGAGTGCGGCGCTGGGATGGGTGAGGCTGGGGGATGAGGGCTCGGGGCAGACCTTATCGCTCCATACAGCTCCGGAAGGGAGGCTGTGGTGAGGCAGGGTTGGCTTCTGCTCTAGGTGACAGCGATAGGATGGGAGGTGATGGCCTCAAGGTGCAGGTTGGATGTTAGGAATGATTTCTACTCTGAAAGAGCGGAGATGTGCTGGCACGGCTGCACAGGGAGGTGTGGGGTCACCATCTGTGGAGGTGTTCGAGGAATGTGGGGATGTGGCTCTGAGGGACGAGGTCAGTGGGCACTGTGGGGATGGGTTGGGGTTACTCCAGTCCCCACCCCTCCACGCTTTGCACTGGGCCATCTTTCTTCTGTCCTTTGCTTCCCAGATCCTCTCCAACGAGGAAAAGAGGGCAAACTTTGACCGCTATGGAGATGCTGGGGAGAGCCAGGGCTACTCCCAGCACCAACAGCGTCAGTTCCACCACTTCCACGAAGGCTTCTACTTTGATGAGTCCTTCTTCCATTTCCCCTTCAACTCAGAGAGACGTGACACCTCCGACGAGAAGTATTTGCTCCATTTTTCACATTACATCAATGAAATCGTGCCAGATAGTTTCAAGAAACCATACCTCATTAAAATCACCTCGGACTGGTGCTTCAGCTGCATCCACATAGAGCCTGTGTGGAAGGAAGTTGCTCAGGAACTGGAGGCACTGGGTAAGGACGAGGCGTTGGGGTTGGGCACGAATTTCCTTGCAGAATGAGGTTTGGGAAGGGTGTCCACCAGCAGCTTGTCCGTAGGACTCGGGGATTTAGGCCACAAGCCTAAATCTTTCCTCTGTGTTAGTAATAACTAAATCAATGAGGCTAAGCGTTATAAACAAGGAAACATCAGGCTTTCTTTCTGACTCATACAGTTTCAGCTCTTTCTACCGGGTAGTTTCACTGTTGTTCCCTCAGTCACCCCCAAGGTTACAAGGGGAAGATGCCTTTTCTCCCTAATTTTAGTCCAGCAGCCATGGTAATAAATAACCACATTAATTAAAGCTGATAGGTAAATCCTGTATGGCTTTGTCCTGAACTTGGAACAAGCAGAATAAAGCACCTGAGTCACCACCATACAGGGCTGTGAGGGAAGTCTGGGGATTTGTCAGCCCTACTGGAAATATATTTGCATGCCAACAAGAAAGCTGGGAATGCAGAGAGCAAGTGGACATTTTGTTTTTCATGCTGATGTCTCCTGCATGCACGTTCCTAAAAAACACAGCAGGATGCAGAGGTGGTCCAGTCCCTCCTTACTGAGCTTTCTCTCCTTTGGGTTTTACTGTAGCATGTGTGACATCAGTGGGTAAAATAAAAGAGGCCATCACGTTCCCTCTCTCCCTTGATAAAGCTTTCGGTACAAGTTCCAAGGGACTGCAGCACAAGGAAAGTACAGAGCTGGGAGGGACCGTGACACAGATAACTCCCAAGTGTGGTGCTGAGCAAGGGAAGGGGTCTTCCAACTCAGCTGTCTGGCCCAAGGTTGGGGTCATCAGTCATTTTTTAGTTCAATTTGCTCTCCTTTCACAGGAGTGGGCATTGGGGTCGTTCATGCTGGGTATGAGAGACGCCTGGCCCATCACCTCGGGGCTCACAGCACGCCATCGATACTGGGACTGATGAATGGGAAGATCACCTTCTTCCACAGCGCCGTCAGTCGAGAAAACCTGCGGCAGTTTGTGGAGAACCTGCTGCCAGGGAACCTCGTAGAAAAGGTACACGTGAGAGGGGCGTGCAGCACTGCGGTTGCTGTCTGATTTGGATAGACAGATCTCATTAGCTGTTGCAGTGGCTCATCCAATTAATTCAGCCCGGAGCTGATCTGTGTCACTGATGTGAGAAGAGCCAACTGGGAAACCAAAGTGCTTCAAGAGCTGTAATTATGGCTACACACCCTGCTTCCCTGCTTGAAAGCAAGCGCACAACACTGTTCTGTAACACTTATTTTCTTTGTAACAGGGCTAATTGCACTACTGCACATTTAGGCCAGCAGTGCAGTCTGTATGCTGCTCTTCCAGCTGCTGTCAGTCTCGAGTCAAACCAGCACACATGTCAGGCATACCTGTGGCAGCTTTTTCAGACCTGGTTCTTATTCAGGCACCTAATCCTACAGCATGCATGTGTCTGACTATTCTGAGGTTAAACTAACAATCTGACTCTGTTTAAAGATTACAGATAAAAACTACATCCGCTTCCTATCTAACTGGAAGAAAGAAAACAAGCCCCACGTCCTTCTGTTTGATCACATGCCAGTTGTGCCATTACTGTACAAGGTAAAGCAATATCTGCCTCTGGATTTTGACTTGCTACTAAATCCAGCACGTGCCCAATGGCATTTAAACAGTGGGGGGTGTTCTTGAAGCAAAGTTACCACGAGCACTGGGGGGACAAGGCATTCTTTATGTGCTAATGTAACACATTCTGGTGCTTTCTTTCCATCCAGCTGACTGCCTTTGCATATAGAGATTACTTGTCCTTTGGTTATGTGTACGTGGGGCTCAGAGGGACTGAAGAGTTGTCCAGTCAGTACAACATCAACGTCTACACACCAACCCTGATGATCTTTAAGGAGCACATCGACAAGCCTGCTGATGTGGCACAGGTACAGCTCTGAGTCCTTTCCAAGTGCTTCCATGAGATGGAAGGAAAGTTTTTTCTCTGACCAAGTGAGAGGTTGGTTGGCTGCATTTTGAGGAATAAGTGGCATTCATTCTCAGTGGTACCTCTGGCTTCAGCAAAGGCAGTGAGCAAAGCCCCAGGAGGGAGGTAGCTCAGTGGGCATCAGCTGTGGGGTCTGAGCTTTGTAGGGGATAGTTGCAGGTAAATTCTAGGTCCTGGGCCCTCTAAGTGTCTTTGGGGGTTTCAGTGAGGACTATGATGGCTGGCATCCTCCAGCTCTTCAGGTGAGAGCCTTAGAATAGCTTCACTCTCCTCAACCAACTCAGTACCAACTCTGCTTTGCTTTCTTTAGGCACGGGATATGAAGAAGCAGCTCATTGATGACTTCCTTTCCCAGAATAAGTTCCTCATGGCAGCCAGACTGACCAACCAAAGGCTGTTTCAGGAGCTGTGTCCTGTGAAGAAGTCACACCGTCAGCGAAAGTAAGGCTCCTTGGGAACCCATTTTGTCCCCCGAGGCTCTTGGGTTGCTTCTAAAGCCATATCTTGTTGGATTGAGTGAGATATAAAAGGTCTCCAAAGGAAGGAAGGAAATGACTGCACTGGAGGTTGCTGGGTATCCATGCAGCTTGATAGCTTTTGTGCCTCCGCTAGGCACATCTTGGGACAGAGGACAGGGAGAAGGGACGAGGAGTGGGGCAACAGCCTGGAGAGCTCAACATCTGGAAGGCAGAGGCAGGCTTTCAAAAATATGCCCAAAAACAACAAACAGGGTTTCCATCCCTTCAGGATGGTTCTCATTAGCAGAAAGATTCTCATTTGCTGTTTCTTCTGGCAGCCAGAACAGCTCTTCATTTTCCATGTCTCTGTGTTGCCTAGGCACTGCGTGGTCCTGCTCACTGGAGAAGGAGATAAGTTTGCTGACGCTTACGAGGCATTTTTGACCTTTGCTGTGGCCAACACAAAAGACACACTGAGGTTTGCACACATCTATAACGACAGGCAGCCGGAATTTGCAGATGCCTTGCTGATGGATGAGGAGAAGTACCGTGGGAAATCAGCTGTGAGCATTACCTTTCTTTTCTTCTGCTGCTGCTGCTTTTCGTCTGTCATTGTAAATCTCTTTGCTCTATGTAGGTCGCTGTAACTTGACCTGACTCCTAATTCTGGGCAGGGATTTGAAGCTAACATCTTTCTCAAAAAAAGTGCTGTCCTGTCAGACATCTGTGATGTGGTTGGCTTGTCCAGGTGGTCATTTTGGAGAGGCGCAACAACGCAGGGAAGATTGCCTATAAAACCTTGGAGGAGGCCTGGCAAGGCAGCAGTGAGGACAACTTCATCCTTCTGGATCTCCTGGACCAGCTAAGAACAGACCCTGGTCTTCTCTCCTCGGAGACTGTCCTGGCAGACTTGAATGATGAGCTTGCTCCTGTAAGTGCACAGCCTTTCCAGCCACTTAACAAGCATGTTACCTCCTTGAACAGTTCCGTTATGCTCATTAGTGGGAATCACACTCTACAGGTGTTCTTGCTCAGGGAAAGATGAGCTCATGGCATAATCCAAAGTTGATTTGGGGCTGGGGTTCAGTTCAGGGGCTGGGGCTCTCATTGGTGCTGTGAATAACAGCTTTATTGTTTGCCTTTTTTTTTTTCATCCCTCCCTTCTCTTAAACAGATGTTTCTTATCCGATGGTTCTATTCCACACTGGACTATATCTTGGACTGCTGGGACAGCTTGTTTCATAGCAACTGGTATGGATGGGGCACTAACAAATCTCAAAGGGAGCAGGATTGCTCAGATGCATGGTAGAACCAGGCTTGGGTTAACAGGAAATGAGAATGTACCAAGTACATGGGTGCCTGTATGCTCTTGAGATTAAGGTGCAATGGCAGCACGGTGACATTAGCTTTTGCCTGAAGTACTGGGTACTCTGGCCTAGAAGTTGACCGTGATATTATGCCCCTGAAAACGTGCCAACCATATCATTTGATGCTTTCCACTGCTTCCCCTTAGCCTTACTTTAAAATTGTTTTGTTTTTGTCCTTCTCCTTTTGGGTGGGAGCAGGACAATGCTCCAAGTCTTGATCATGTTTAAATTCAAGAAAAAACCGTGCTGCTCACAGGCCTGATTGCTGTTTGCAAATCTTCCCTTAGGCGAGAAATGATGCCCCTGCTGTCCTTGCTCTTCTCTGCGCTCTTCATTCTCTTTGGCACTGTTATTGTTCAGGCCTTCAGGTGAGTGCACATCCTAGGGGATCTCACAGTCCAGCCAGCAGCAGCTCAAAGCAGCCCTTTAAACAAGCCCCAAATGATTTTTCTTTGCAGTGATTCCAGTGATACAAGGGACTCTCCTGCCTCTGAGAAAAAAGACACCACTGCAAAGACCGAGAAGAATGACACAAGCTTCAGCAAAGAGAGTAACAGGTTCCCTTCCCCTTCAAAAATATTTTTTGCTGAATTGTTGTTTGTGAAGAGTAGTATGAGTAGCTCAGCGAATAGTAGGTAGAGAAGTGCATGATAGAGTAGTGCCAGAGCTGTGTGGATGGAGTAGTTGTTGCAAGGGCAGTATGGGCACAGAAAGGCAGGAAGGAGTGGTGTTAGCAGGGCAGATAGGATGTGGATACAGAAATGTAGTTATTAAGTGACTCCTGCTAATGTGGGAGAGAAAGCAGCTGTTCTGAGATGGGCTTGGGACTCTGACAATCCAGGGGAAGCTGTGACTTTACACCAGGTCTCATTCCATCCAGCCACTCTTGCTTGCCCTGCATAAAAGCCATTCTTCCTCTCTGCAGGCTGCACCACCAACATGGGCTGTAGCTATAGGGCACAGGGCTGGATCAGCTTAAGGAGGGGGGAATGAGTTCATCCTTTATTCCCCTTTTACTCCATCTTTGTTTTATTGCAGCAGGGTTCCCAAAAAGGGCTTTGTCGAGGTGACAGAGCTGACAGACATCAACTACAACAGTAACCTGGTGCGCCTCAGGCCGGGTCACATGAATGTGGTCTTGATTCTCTCTAACTCCACCAAAACTGCCCTCCTCCAGAAGTTTGCCCTGGAAGTCTACACATTCACAGGGTAGGTTGGGGCCCTGGCCTGAGTTTACTTCCCTGTTTTAACACCTTGCATAAGCAAAGCTGCTTAGGTGGAAAATTAGGGGGGAGTTATGCTTTACCACCTCTTCTCCAGTCTAAACAATCTCATTTCCCTCAGCCATCCCCCAAGCCTGTGCTCCAGACCCCTCACAGCTCTTCTCCCTTCTTTGGACATGCTTCAGGGCCTCCATGTCTTTCTTGTAGCAAAGGGCCCAAAACTGAACACAGCACTCAAGGTGCAGCCTCACCAGCGCCGAGTACAGGGTCCAGTTGGCAAAAAAACAACACCTACCAGCCTGATTTGGGAGCAGTGCTCATCCTGCTTCTCTCTTCTCCCCCTAGGAGCAGCTCTCTTCATTTCTCCTTCCTCAGCCTGGACAAGCACCGTGAATGGCTGGAGTACCTGCTAGAGTTTGCACAGGATGCTGCCCCCATCCCCAATCAGTACGACAAGCATTTCCTTGAACGTGACTACACGGGCTACGTGCTGGCTCTGAACGGCCACAAGAAATACTTCTGCCTCTTTAAGCCTCACAGATCAGGGGACGAGGGGGGAACCCTGGGGGCAGGTGAGGATTACAATTCCTCACTACACACCGAAGCCAGAGGGAAATCCTCCTGCAGCCCAGGATCTAAATCCATTAAAAACAAATTACATAAATTGTCCTTTTGGATGGAACGCCTTCTTGAAGGCTCCTTACAGAGGTTCTATATCCCCTCGTGGCCTGCACTAGACTGAGGGATTTTAAGAGATTCTAACAGACACACTTTTTATGAAGATGCCGAGGGACAGCTCTCTCCAGGTCTAAACAAATGATTGTGATGAATGGACCTTAGGTTTTAGGTGAACCTCTCTGAGGGCCAGTGACCAGAAAAATCTCCCTGCATCCAGAGCCTGGGAGTGCAACAAAGCGTGCTGAAATGCCCTCCACCAAACCATCCTCACGTTTGGATGCTGTACTGTCAAAAAGCCAAGAAGTCCTTTTTTCCTTTCTCATCATACCACGCCTGCTTCCTGGGCTGTCCCCGAGCCATCCCTCATTTCACCTCAGATGAATAAAAGCCGTGATCTCTGCTGCGGCGATGTGGCTGGTTACACAGGGCAGGTCGTGGCTCTCCTCTCGCTTCCTTGTGTGCTTAGCCCATGGTGCATGGTGTAACCCTGGCAAGACCCTCCAGACCCTCCCAGCAGACAGCCGTACCCCTCGGCTCCCCCTGGGTAAGTGACCTGGAACGTGGCTGGGAACACTCCTCCAGAGCAGCCCTGAAGCTGGCACTCACCTGTGGTGTGGGCAGGGAGGTGATCTGCATGTTTCATGCTCCTCGTGTAACAGTTCCACCAGAACCAGGGAGGGAAGGGGTTTTGCACAGCCGTAAATACTGTAACGGTGTTGAGCCATTTAAATGTCACATTGTTTTCCAGATGCCTTCCTGCTTCTGTCAGTTTTAGAGGATGTATCTTAGAGCCATAACTTTAACTGTGTCCTCAGATTGTAGGCATATGCTGCTATGAGCCAGTAGATGTGTAGATGAAACTCTACCTAGCTGCTAGGGAGCCAGTGGGGGCTCCTTTCAAACACCCTTACATCTGTAGTACAAACCAACCTTTCTTTGTATCAAGGAACCTAATTTGTCAATAATTGTACTCCTGTTGCCCCAGAAGTGCTGTACCACCAGACTGTTGCTTACATGTGAGGCTCCTTTTGTTTTAGGTGTGGGTTTAAGATGCTTTGTCATCTTGCCCATTCCGTTCCTGCCACAAACCTTTGTCTCTCAACATGCAGGCTGCCTTGGGTTTTCTGTTGTTTTTTTTTTGTTCTTGTTGGTTTTTTTTTTTTACAAATCGGTCTGTGTAAAGCTCGTGCAGTCACAAAGCACAGAGTCCCACACTGGGGTACAGGCTGCCTGTTGTGAGCTGGGGGAGGCAAGCAGGAGGTGCTGGGGTGCTTTGTAGCTCCTCCAACCATAACACAAAGCCAAAGGGTTTCCTTCCACAATTGAGACTGAAATCCTGCAGGGTCCCAACCTGGAGCTCAAGCCAATTTGCTGCCTGCATTATTTTGATGCACAAAACCTTGGCCTGTTGCATTCCCAGCACACTGGGAGCAGCTTCACCCACTGTTGGCCACCCCAGCACCGTGTGTACTCCCAAATAAACATGGCTGTGCTGTCAACCACGCTCATGTGAGGCTGCTGGATTTTAGCTCAGCAGGCCCTGAGCCTCAGCTACAGCAATGAGGCATTGAAATTGGGGGAAGGAATTAAAAAAAGAGGTCTTCTCCCTGCTAATGAGCTACAGGGCACACACGTGGTGCGACAGCTGGGGCAGAACACTGTGTCAGCCTGATGGTGACATACAAACATGCCAAATTTGGATGAGGAATGAGGATGGACAAACTCATCTGCCATCTCTTCAGCGAGTCAGAAACCCAAATAAACTTTTGACGTGCAACTTAAAAAAAAAAAAAAAAAGACAAAGTGCCTAATTGTGCTACAGCAAAGGAATTCAACCCCAGGCCAAATAAGGAAAAGATCTGGCCTTGTGGCCTTCAAAGTATAATTTCTGTGCGCTGCAGCAATGCCAAACTGTTCTAAAATCACCCACTGAAGTAGTTTTGGTTGTCATGGAGCACTGGGCACTTGCTTGCCAGTAGAAGAGCGTGGTCAGAGGCCCCCTCAGCTGCTGCTTATGCCTGAGCTCTGCCTGCCCTCTCCCAGCAGTCATAAGCTGAGATCCCAAAATCCCCCCATGTTGTAACGTATCATCAGCAACACGCACCCGCTGCTCTGCGCTGCATGTGGCAGTTTGTAACCCAAAGATTGAGGCAGTTCAGTCCTAATGCACTATTCGGCGATAAACAAGCAAGCAGCCCCACTCAGAAGCTGAAACAAAAACATCCTTACAGCAAAAAGGGAAGCAGCCCCAAGTCAGAGGTTGTCCCAAAGCCCTTCTTTTGACTGAGAGTGGCAGGAGCAGAGCCTGCCAGTAACTCGTACACTAACACAGCCTGACAAGTGGGACTGAAAACAAAGTACATCTTTTGCACTTTTGATACAGGGAGGGAGGTGGGGAATTAACTTATTTGGCAAACTTGTCTTTTTTATTTTTGGTTTGGGTTTTTTTTTGTTTGTTTGTTTTTTTGTCATGTATTTGTGATCAGGCACTGATGTCATTTTGTTTTAAGACGATTACAGATTCGCAACCAAAATAAACTATTTTAATGTGTGATGAAGTGGATTTTGTTTTTCCATGTGCCAAACGATCCCATGCCTGCATGAACTCATACATCCCGAGGGCAACCAAACCCCTCCTGGAACACCAGTGGTTGGGCCAAGGGACAACACCCACCTCTCCTCAGCTGCTATGCTTCCCTACCTCTTCTAGCAGCACATGGCATTTATTCCTTACTGCAAAGCACATGTTCACTGCACCTGGAGGAGAGTAGGGCATCAGGAACCTCATCCAAGGTCTGCAATGGCATCTGCTGCTGGTGGTTCACAGGGCTGGGGTCCAGACAGGAGCTGCCCTCACATGGTTTTCACTCCAGGAAGGACACACAACATTTCAAAGAGCAGATTGGCCCCTAGCAGAGCAGTGTTACCTAGGAATAGACAAAAAAAAAAAAAAAAAAAGATACACACAAAAAAAAAAGAATAGTAATAAAATTTGTGCTATGACTGCCCATCTGTTTTCACCCGCAGATCTCAGCCACCTCTGTCAGCTCCTACCACTCTGTGGCAGTTCCTAGAGCCCAGGGCTGCTCTTTGCCTTTCAACACTAGGTGGCACCTAGCAAAAACTGAAGACTTCAGTGCAAGTGCCCTTTCAGCCCTCCCAGCCCCACAGATTTCCATCTACTCACCAGAGACATCATATATGGGTGCAACCTCCACAAGGTCACATCCCACTATATTGAGTCCTTTGCAGCCACGAATAATCTCCAAAGCCTGGGAGGAAAACAGATTGGGGTACAACAAATGATCAAAGTTCCTCAAATGGGAAGAAAAACATCCTTATCCCATTAGGAAGGGAGCTTTGTGCCCCTCACCTGCATAGGTGTGAGCCCAGCAATCTCTGGTGTGCCCGTTCCCGGGGCATAGGCAGGGTCCAGCCCATCAATATCAAAGCTGATGTACACCGGGCCATCCCCCATCTGCTGCCTCACCTCTTCCATCAGTGGAACCAGGGACTTCATCCAGCACTCCTCAGCTGGAACCACCCGGAATCCCTGCGGACGCACAAGCTCAGCATTCACCATCCCACAACCAGCATCCCAGATCCCACTGGGGATTTATGGAAAGGAGACTGGGCTGCATTTTCCATGCACCCAAATAAGCTTTAAGTAAGGCAGCTGCCAGAGGTTACCTGGTCCCAGCAGTACTTGTAAGGATCAGGGGCATAGGAGGAGCCACGGATGCCAATCTGAACCACCCGGCTACAGTCCAGCAGCCCTTCATCCACGCAGCGCCGGAATGGGGTCCCATGGTAGATCTTCTCCCCCAGGGCCATGTCACTGGTGTCAGTGTGAGCATCCACATGCACCAGCCCCACAGGTCCATGCCTAAGTGGGATCAGGTGGGCACATCAGTCCCCAACCCACACTCAGTATCCCCAACTTACACCATCACTGCCATCATTCTAGGGGCTGAGAAGCGTTAGGACAGGGCTGTGTTCTACACCTCCCAGGTTGGAAACTTACTTTTCTGCCACTGCCTGCAAGATGGGGTATGTTACAGTGTGGTCTCCACCTGCGACAGGACAAGGAAGAGGACATTGCATATTGCAAGAGGCTCTCAGCACTCCTTGAATTTCTTTTCCAGTGACTTTTTCCCCCCTGTATTTATGCTGCACTTGTTCATACGCTCAGACCAAATCACAACAGGAGAAAATGGAATCAAGACAGAATTAGGAGCTCCCACAGCACACTTACCCAGAGTGAGAGGCACACAGCCAGAGGCCACGATCTTCTGGTAGGACTCGTAGATGCGGCGGCAGCTGTTGGGCAGGTTGTAGAGGTTGACATTCACATCTCCAACATCAGCCACCAGCAGGGAGTCGAAAGGTGCAGCCCCAGTGCTGACGTTGTACCTCCTCACCATCACTGACTCAGCACGGATCTGCTGAGGACCAAACCTGTGTAGGAGAACGTGGGCAGGGAAAGCTGCAGGCAGAGCTATGCTACCAGCAGGAGCCAAGCAGCAACTGCCCTCCTACCTGGCTCCAGGCCGGTTGGATGTGCCCGTGTCAAGGGGAACACCGACAAAAGCTGCATCCAGCCCCTCTGCTGAGGTCTGAACAGGAAGCCTTAGCATGGAGCAGACCCCCACGGGCCGGGCCACGAACTCAGCACTGGGAGGCACGTTGAACCGTGAGGCACGGCGGCATGGAGCAGCAGCAGATGCAAAAAGCCACTGAGCAGAGAGCCTGGCTGTCCTGAGCAGACAACTCATCCTGCCACACACACAGCGAGACCCCAAAGTCTGCCCCGTTCCTGCAGCTGGGAACAGAGCCAGGTGACTCACTGTGTCACCCTGCTGGGTTCGAAGTGCATCTGGATGCCCTGCAAAGGGCAGAGTGCTCAGGTTCCTTTCCCACGCATTCTCGTCTTTCTGATCCCCCTTCCACACACTGATCAGCTGCAGGAAGCAAGGCATCAATTTCTTAACTGCCTTTTACAAAGCGCTGAAGTATCATAAAAACATCCCACTAAGGAAAGGCAGTGGGACAAAACAGAAAGCATCTGACCTCACCAGAACTATAGACACACTAGGTGCAAACAAATGAGATGCAACCCCCATGGAATACCAAGGTTGAGTGCAATGCTCTGGCTCCTAGTTCTGCTCACTGCCCTTCTAGAGCTGGATCTGGGAGAGATAAGGAGAGGCAGGGGGGAGAAAAAAAATAAAAGGAGTACATTCACACTCTATACTATCTGTTTTCATATGAAATACATCTGTAATTTCAAGCCCTATGCTGCAGTGACATGTAAGAAAGTGGGAGCTGTGCTGTGTTTTTCTGAGTCAGCACGAGCTGATGGGTTGAACAGCAAACCAAAGGGAAGAGAGGTCAAAGCAGGGCTCCTCCAGGAAACTGACAGCATTTAGATTGCAACGAGCTCCAGGGGAGCAAGGGATACAGGAGTTGGCTTCCTGGGGATTTCCTTGGATAGCAAGCAGCTCTGTTGCTGTAAAATGAGCAGGGCCATTCCCTGACAGGCAGCACTGCACTGTCAACTCAACCAAAGAGCACTTCAAAGTGACAGATCTTGACAGCATTTCTGTGTGATGGTGCGCTCAGGGATATCAGCCACCTGACCCACAACCTGCAGGTCAGTTACCAGCCAGAGGAGTGAGGATACACATGATCACAAGGCAGGGCCCGTTCTTCAAAGAGGAGGGGGCTCTCGTTGGGGAACTCTCTTTGGTGGAATAAAAGAACACATTTCAGAGACAGGACTTTGATATACCAACGCTGACCCAGCACTACACAGCCTCACAGCCAAAGAGCTGGATCCGGTGAACAGAGATGAACTGGATTTAGAGAATGCTCAGAACGTCATCACCCATTTATTGTGCAACCAGCAGCAGTAACATTCTCCCCCAGCTCCCCTTAACACAATTACAAACGTGAAATCAAACGATGTTTTCATTAACATAGCTGTTATTGTTCCAACAGTGGTGCCTCCTATCCTCTCCAGCCAAAGGATGTTACTTCATTGTTAAGCACAAAACCAGGTACATAAAGCAGGTTAGCATCACAGGACACTCCCTAAGCTGGCACTGCTCCTCAGCCCTATTCCACATGCAGTATTATCCCTGACTGCACACAGTTTGACTTGGCCTTGGCAGAATTGGAGCTGCCATTGCGCAACAGTCAAGAAAAAGAAGTTTGTATGTCCTTCTGCCAGCACAGCTTTCTTTGTGCATGTTTAAATCTGTGACACTTGTGTGTGAGAGCAGCTAGACAGTACCTCCTTCCCCACAGACAGTACCTCCTTCCCCACGCACACTCTTCTCAAAAGGAACTTGCTTCACTCAGCGCATGACTTCAAAGCCAGCTCTGAACTCCTGACTGAACACAACCAAGCACATACCCCAGGACACCTGCACATTCTGCAAACCCTGACTGAAGGAGTAATGATGAGGCAAGGGCAAGTCCTCTAGCAGGAAGAGAAAAACAGCGTGTACTAAAACTCGCTACAGATAAACTCAACCTCTTGATGCAGGCCTGCAGATATTTTCCCTAAATTAGTACAGGATTCCAGGCAGACAGAAAAGACAGATTCCTATGTGCTTTCAGCAAGTGCCATTTATCTACTGCACGGTCACGCCCCACGCATGTAGAACTCTTCACCCAGACTGGTTTCTCCAGGCCAGCAACAAGACAACTGCTGTCCAGAGGTCTTCGAAGTCGAGGTTGGCCAAAAAGCACATCTTCATTTTGGTTTCTACCCTGCTTTCGTCCACCAGTCCATCCATGAGCAAAGTGGCTGCAGATTGGCAGAGAAGCCAGGCAGTCATCTGGTCAGGCTTCAGGGCCTCAGATGCCAGAATGCTTTCACCCCAGAGGCTCAAGTGGAGCACGTTAGCAGCAACTCTAGCAGACAATCTCTGCAAAAGGAGTAAGAGGGAAAATTAGCTGTGCTCACATCACATCCTGTCCCATCTGCATTGCTGAAAGTCCCCTAGACCTTCTCAAAAAAGCCTTTCATTATTATTATTATTCAACCCTGTACACAGCAGGAGGGGGTTGAAACTAGATGATCATTGTGGTCCTTTTCAACCCAGGCCATTCTATGATTCTGGCAACTACATGTGAACCTTTGACACAAACATCTGAAATCACTGAAACTGTTCAGTGAGTGCTATGCCGTGCTCCCACAAAGACCCACATTCCACTTTGTTATCTACATTGCAATTACATCTGCATTACAGGAGCACGTGGAGCACTACAGGGCAAGATGACCTACAAACAACACAAAGAGCAGCTGGATGACTTCCTCAAGGCTGGTTTCTGACCTTGTTGGGATCCCTCTGAAGCAGCATCCTTATCACTTGCTTCACCTCACAGGGCACACCAACAGGCAGGCTTGGCAGCTCCTCCTCACAGTAACTTCTGCTTTCCAGGAATGAGTCCCCATAGCTGTAGAAAGGATTGGGCAGGCCCAGGATTTCATAGGCAATTGCTCCAACAGCCCAGGCATCAGCTTTGCTGTAGTCAATCACCATGCCTGGACCTGCTGACGCTGTGGTCACCTGCATGACAAGTTTAGATGAGATGGAAAAGTTACAACAAAGAGCTCTAAATGAATATTTTCTGTAGGCAGGCCTCAGGTTTTCATTGCTTCTCAACCCACCACTACATACGGAAGATTTTGATCACTACATCTAGGATTTAGTTGTTACCTCCAACCAGCATTCACACCAAGTCCTAAGAGACATTTCACTTTGAGATTTAAGATAGACAGGAGACATGGAGATAACAACCAGTACTGCACTTGCATGCAGGAAACACAAGGCAGGGTTCCCCGGTACACAAAGGCAGCTAGACTGCCCAAGGTTTTATCAGTGCTATCACCAAAGGACTAAAAAGCAACCATCCATCATCTCACACCACCTTGAACTTTGTTCAAAAGCTACATGCTGCCCCAGTGCAAGGACTGCTACAGGAACTCCTCTAACAGCTACATGGAACTGAGCCTGAGAAAAAGGCTACAGAACAAACTTTCTGTGGGAAAAGTCAACACTGCCTCAAAACATCAATTGATTTTCATTTTGTGGCCAAAGTACCCATTTGATAAATATTTAGCGTGGATTCCAAGAAAATTTAATTCATTCTTTCCAGACCCAATCCCACACTTTGCCAAGTTCTCACATATTGCACTTCAGCTGGTGCTGAAGCTTTTATCCCCAGAAGCAGCACAAACCCACAACTAGCAGCACCAGTGGGATGGATTTACCTCAGGTGGCATGAGAGAGCTATTGCCACCACGATCCATGTCAGTGCTGATGAAGGGCAGCCTCAGACCAATGCTGTCATCTGCCAAACAGCAACCGAAGTCTGTGATCACCAGTCGGGGGCAGCCAGCTGCAAACAACAGGGACAGCAGTGAGCATTCAGCTTGGGAGCACCCAGCTGCATCAGACAGCAGCATGGGAACACCAGGAGCAGGCACCGTGGATATCCTGACAACCAGGACACATGAGGTTAGGAACTCTTCAGTGATGAAACAATCTTTTCATTTCTCTACTTTCATCTTTATCTACAGCAAAAGCTATAAGGATATATGCTGAGCTATAGCAAAAAGCTGGAAAAATTTTGCATGAGTTAACAGTTCTTGTCTTGAAGACAAGCCAAAAATTGCAAAGCAAAATCATTACTTCTCCAGACTCTGAAAGGGAAAAAATCAATGCTTTAAATCATTCCTAGTGCAGCTCCAGAGGAGCTCTTCCTTCAAGAAAGATGACATTAGCACTGCTGAAAGCCTGCCACAGCTGCTGCACCAAGACTTTTAATTACAAAGAGCTGGCTTCATTCTATTGTTTCCTGCCCATTTGATTTCCAGTCACGCTGAAAAAGAGCTCAGGTAATTAAAATCTCAGTTAGAAGGGCCAACAGGAGAAGCTGGTGACAAAAACGCTGCTTTTGGTTTTAATACTCTGCCAGTACCCTGTCTTTCAACAGATGTGTAATCATGGCAGGGTGCAGCAGCATTTTAAGAACTGCTCTGTGCTGTTTGGCCAGTGAGGAATGACACAGCCTAATGCCAGGGCACCTCCAGCAATGCAAGTGTGGCAGTTCCGTATGTCTTCAAGCCAACATTCACTTTGCTTGTGCAGCACACTGCTTTAGTAACACTCTGCACCTCTCCCTCAGGTTACAGCACAACCTTCTATGTCCACAGACACAAACTTACACCCAGTGATCTACATACCAGAATCGAACTCAACCAGGATGTTGTCAGACTTCAGGTCTCTGTGTGCTATCCTGTGTCGAACGAGATGGTCCACGCCTTCCAACAGCTGCAAAATCATCATGGTGGACAGACGGGTATCCGGGCTGTTGTCCCTCAAATACTGGCGCAGGGTGCATGGATAGCTAGTCAGAACATGGAAGATACCTGAATTAGCATCCCTGAAGCTTTTCCCTTCCCATTCTACCTCAGTGCTGTCTGGCTGGGGTTACACTGCAATCAGAAGTGACAAATTCTCACTGAACTTTGCCACCTTTCCATTTTTGAATCACCAGCGTGGTGAGGGTCTCCAGGTACACCACCTTCTTACAGGGTTCTACATGCATACAGGTTTTATTCCTTGCATCAGAGAGGAGACAGATCACTGATACAGACTGAAGGAGTGTAATAGAGATATGCAAATTGAGCAGAAGAACATTTTCTTGAGCTACAAAAAGGATAGAGGGCTCCTCCAGATGCAGACAGAACAGAAAAGTGGGAAACAGAAAGTGGTTTTACATTAGTGGTACAACCATACCCACTAAAAAACAAAACCCAACTGAGACATCCAGAGACACCAAATCTCATCTTCTCCTCTGCTTCTAGCAGCGTGTTCAACCTAGAGGCAACATTCACTTTTCAGGGCAAGTTTTGCATTCCTTTGTGGCAATTATTACCATGGACAGCTTGCCTTTCTCATTGAACAAGAGCTAAAATCTTGAGGATCTCAACAGCTCTCAGGAGCCATGTTTCTAAGCGCATACTCTGGCTTTTGGCAGCAACCCAGGCCAAACCTCTAGCAGGACTCATGCAGCAGCAGAACACACAGCCCTGCTGGGCAATCCCACAAAGTCCCAGCCCCCAACAAGCTTCTCCCACCTACTTTTTCATCACTAAGAAGAGTGTGTGACTGCGACCAATCCCTCTGGGATTCAGGCTCACTGGAAGAACATCAGGATAGTCTGTGAGGGCTCCAGGCAGCAACGGGACAGAGGATGTGAAAGCTCGGATCACCTGGATTATATTTGGATGAGGTCTCAACCTCTTCCTCCCAAGGACAGGTTCTCTGTGCAAAAGTACAGACATCACAAGTTACAGCAATCTCTATTACCTCCAGGATTATTTTTCATTACTATGGCACATCCCCTCCACCAAAGGGTTCCAAAGCAGCAGGCAAATATGTTTGTTCTGCTGTCACCTTGTGATTGGATTTCCTGCAGCCTGATGGATGAGCAGGAAATACTGCTGCTTTATCTGCACAGCAAAGGAAGATTTGCTGGAAATGCTCATGTTGGACATGCAGCCCTTCATTTTCCATAACTCTACCTGGTTAGACTGAAAATAAAGGCCAGATTCACACTATGCAGATCACCTTAGACCTCTTATTTACTGGCATGGACAGGAAGCATTCCCTTGGCTTCTCTGTTGCATTCCCAGGCTAAGGACACACTGAGAAGCATTCATTATTCATCTGCATTGGCAGAGACATATTTGAAATGTAAATCGGGCAGTCTGGACTGTGGACTCCATTGTTTCCAGTTGAAAAAAAGACAAGGTTTTGAACAAGAGCACAATTAAACTCAAGAACCTTGAAAAGTTTCTGTGCAATCTGCCACCTTAATGCTGCCTGCCTAACCTTAGCTCAGATGAAGAAGAGTTAACAGTCATTTTCCATTTGCCTTCTCACCAATTTCTGTTTTTTGCATGCAGCAACCTGCACTGCAACAGCTTCCACCTCCCTTTCCTTGCACCTGTTTTAGAACTAGACCTTAGGCCAGGTTTCACAGGGCTGCCCTTTCAATTCAGCACCAAACTACCACAGAACGTCAGTGTTTAATTCTGTAATTAAAAAACACAATGATACTTTTAGATGACTTCTCAGAAACAGCTCCTCCCAGCTTTTCCAACAGAGTTAACTTTTTCACTGTCAGAGAGTAATGCAATTCATGCACTTTACACATGGGGAAACTGAGGCACAGTGCCCCATCAGACCCAAAACAGGTGGGTCCCTGATCATCCCATGTCCTTTCAAGTCTTCAAGACTAAGACAGTGGAGGGAAGCATACAGCCGAGCTGCAGGGATCTCCTGCATGCTAACTGCTCCTCAAAGCAAACACTGTTAAATTATTATTTGAACAGCACCACTGCTATGCTCATTAGAGAGAAAAGTCACTAGGATAGGCAGAAGTGTGCTCCTCCATGGCATCTCAGGCATACAGCACTACCAAAGGCAGTGCCATTTAGCTAAGGCATACACACAATAATCCCAAGGGTTCGTGCTCATTTCTTCCCAACAACCATCTCAGAAACCTCCAGCTGCATTCTCTACAGCACAGATGTGCTGAAAAATGAAAATGATGGACCCAGTTGGATAGAATTAGCACATCACACATAGAGAACAGCTGCCACTGCCATGGTTACCAAACCTGTGGTGGAAGACAGCTCCATACTCCCCAGCTAAGGCAGTCCGTGTGGCTGGAACGAGCTCTCGATGCATATTGCGCAGGATGGCTTCACTTGAAGAGTCAGCCTGCAACAGCAACGTGCTGTCAGCTAGACAGAATCACAGAATGGCCAGGGTTGGAAGGGACCTCAAGGATCATGAATCTCCAACCCCCCTGCCACATGCAGGGCCACCAACCTCCACGCTTAATAATGACTGCTAATCACTGGCTGTGTGATCAGTCACTAATAACTGGCACTCAACGTCATGTCCTTATAGAATAGGTTAGGCTGGAGAGGACCTTAAAGATCACCCAGCCCCAAGACATTGTGCAGGCTAGGTGCCCCCCACATCCCACATCAGGCTGCCCAGGAGCCCATCCAACCTGATCCTGGGCTGGAACACGCAAGGAGGAGGTTAAGAGCTGACTCCTTACCGAAATGTTCCACATCATTTTGATAGCCAGGGGGAAAGCAGCTTGCTGCTGGTGTTTGTCAGCCAGCTCCTCTTCAGAGGCAGGAAGATCTGAGCTCTCCTTGCTCCCCTGGTGATGGGGGGATGAAGGAATCGCTGCTTCATAGACAGCTGCATTGCAGCCCTTCCCGAGGGGCTGCCCGATCAGATAGTCCTCCAGCTTGAAGCCCTGCCAGCGCAAAGAGCTCAGAGGATGTTTTTGTGCCTTGTTCTTCCCGACAAACACGGTCTGAAAGGAATAACAAAGGAAAAGTATTAAGAGAAAGCACTCAGTTATTCAAAATTGCACAATGAAAACAAACCCGAATGATTGGAAAGAGCAAAATGCCTTTTTTTTCAACCAGCCCACAGTAGGGGTTGGCACCGGATGGGCTCTGAGGTCCCTTCCAACCCAGTGATTCCATACACGGGGACAGGCCTGGTCCTGCCTGACAGCCTCAGCCAGGGGCTGACATTCAGGCTGTAACCATAGGGACAACAGAACAGAACAGGCTGGAAAAGGCCTCTAAGATCAACACCATCCCCTCCCCAAGGCCCCACACCTGGATGCGGCCGCACACGGCCCTCGCCCGGCGCTGCTCCTCCAGCGGCGGCTCCAGCAGCGCCAGCCCCAGAGCCAGAGCCATGCACGGCCCGGCCCGGGCCCGCCGCACCGCCATGGCCGTCAGCCCGGCCGGGCGCCGGAGGGACAAGAAGCGGACAAAAGGCAGCCGGGAGAAGAGGAAGGGTGGAGAGGCGGCTGAGGGGATGGGAGGAGGAACGGGGATAGGAACGGGGCGGCGCGGCGCGGCGCCGGGGAGCAGGCGGAGGGCGCGGGCAAACAGCACCCGCAGCAACATGGCGGCCACAAAGCGCCTCACGGAACGGCGGGAACCGGGCGGCGGCGGCGGGAGGGGCGGGGCTGTGGGAAAGGGGCTTAGTGTGCAGTGCGCATGCGCAGCGAGTCAGGTGGTGCGCGGCACATGCGCAGTGCGAAGGGAGGCGATGGCCAGAGCACATGCGCAGTGCGAAGGGAGGCGGTGGCCAGAGCGCATGCGCAGTGCGAAGGGAGGTGGTGGCCAGAGCGCATGCGCAGTACGAAGGGAGGCGGTGGCCAGAGCGCATGCGTACTGTGGTGGTTTAAAGCGCACACTGCACATGCTCAGTACGGAGCGCATGCGTGGTGCGGAGGGAGGCGGTGCACAGAGCGCATGCGCAGTGCGGAGGGAGTCGATACTGCGCGAGGCGATGCACAGAGCGCATGCGCAGTGCGAGGGGTCAGATTGCATTGCTGTGTTGGTGCATGGGACGATGCACGGTGCACGGTGGATTGGTGCTCAGAGCACAGTGTAATGGTGCACGGAGCCCTGTGCACAGTGCATGGGGCTTTATGCACAGAGCACGGTGCATTCGTGCAAAGAGTGTTGGTGCACAGAGCATGGGGTGTTGGTGCAGACAGCACTGAGCAAAGCATGCATTGCACAGTGCACGGTGTTGTGATATAAAGAGCACTGTGCATGGTGCATTGGCTCACAGCTGCCGTGCATGGTGCAGCATCAATGCAAAGAGCATGTGCACAGCGTGTGGTGCTTTGGTGCAGCACACAGTGCAAGGTGACGGTGTGTGGGTGCACAGAGCTGCATGCATCGGTGCACAGTGCACTGGTGCACGGTGCATTGGTACACAGAGCACAGTGATCGTGCACATTGCATTGGTGCACAGGGCACGGTGTATGGAGCACGGCTGCGTAGCACACGGTGCACTGAGCACAGCATGTGATGCACAGGGCACGGTGCAGCCAGCACAGAGCACTCTGCAGGGCACAGGGCATGGTACACAGGGCATGGAGCACAGGGCATGGGGCATTGGTGCACAAAGCACAGCCTGGCTCATTAAAGTAACACATCTTGTTTTTGTTTTTTTTTCTATTGCACATAATTTAATTGCCAGGACAATCAGTGAACAACCTCTCCTGAATTCCAATTTGTCCTCACAGAAGCAAGCAAAAAAAAAAGAAAAGAAAATAATAGGCAAAAAGGAGCAGTGGCACCACAGTGACAGCCCACTGAACACCGAGCTGCCTGTGCACAAATGGTGGCTGGTGGGTAATGTTGGGGACTTTGAGCTGAAATTGCTTTTTGTCCCCAGTTTTGCAGCCTTGGATCCAGGCAGCATCCATGCAGCAAACCCTTTCACGTGGCATTGTCCCCATGGAGCCATGTGCATAAAGGGAAAGTTGGGGGGATAATCCATCACCCCCAGCACAGAAAGGGAAATGCAGGTGTGCAGTTCATGCCTTTTGCAGGTCCTCAGGGCCAAAGGAGAGTGGCAGGAGCTCCTGTAGTGTCTTCACAATGTAGGTGCCATCGGGTTTGGTCAGGTAGAGGTCCCAATCTGTGCCAAACTACAGGAGAAGAGGGGGAGAGAGGCTTAATGGGGAATCCATGCTTCTTCCCCAGCTGGCTGCTGCACCCACAGCCACACCAGCAACTGCTGGGCTCCCTCAGTTTGTTCAGCCCAGAGTATAGAAGGTGGAGGGGAGGCCCCGTGGTGGCCTGCAGCTCCTTGTGGCCCTACAGCTCCTCGTGGCAGCCTGCAGACCTCAGCATGGTAGAGACCCCACTCACCTCTCTCATCACCTGTCTGCAGGCTCCGCAAGGCGTGATGAAGTCTGCCATGTCACTGCCAAAAAGAGAAGCACACCAGGCTCAGTTCCACACCTCAAAACCCAAAGGGAGTAAACACCTCGAAACTCAAAGAGATTCCCCCAAACCCAAAGGGATCGTCCCAAAATCAAAGGTGGAACCAATCTGGAAAAGAAAGGGATCACCCAAAACCCAATGTGATCACCCAAAACCCAAAAAGGGCACCACTCCAAAACCCAAAAGGAGTAACACCCCAAAGCCCAAAGAGATTCCCCCAAACCCAAAGGGATCACCCAAAACCCTAAGGGAGAACCACCCCAAAAACCAAAGGGATCACCCAAAACCTAAATAGGACACCTCCCCAAAGCCCAAAGGAATTGCCAAAAAACTAAAGGGAGCAACACACCAAAACCCAAAGGGATTTCCCAAAACCTAAGGGTATCACCCAAAACCCAAAGGGGGCACCACCACAAAACCCATGGGGACTGCTCCAAAATCAAATGGGGAATCACCCCAGAATTAAAGGGGTAACCATCCCAAAAAACAAAGGGATCACCCAAAACCCAAAGGAGGCACCTCCCCAAAGCCCAAAAGGAATTGCCAAAATTCCAACAGGAGTAACACTCCAAAATCCAACGGGGTTCCCCAAAACCCAATGGGACTGCCCATAAATCAAAGAGAGAACCACCCCATAAAACAAACCGATCAGCCAAAACCCAAAAGAGGCACCACCCCAAAAGGAAGCATTACACGAAAAACCCAAAGGAACCGCCCAAAACCCAAAGGAGGCATCACCCTAAACCCCCAAAGAGTGACACGGTGCCGTTGAGCCTCACCTGGCAATGGCCATGGCCCTGAATCTTGTGTGCCCCTCAGAGATGGCTTTCTGGATGGCAGTGCGCTCAGCACACACCCCAAGGCTGTAGCAGGCATTCTCCACGTTGCACCCTATGGGGAAGCACCAACACCACTCACCACCCCTCACTTGGTGAGACCCCCTTCAAACGTAGCTCTGGCCAATGCACGTCTCCTTTCCATGATTTATTTCCCATATTTTCCTACTCTTGGCTCTTCTGGTGACTACAGCTGGTAGGGAGCATGGGGAAAGGTTGTGACACCCACCTGGAAGACCTCAAAACCTAAAGGGAACACTACTCCAAAAAGGGAAGAGATCACCCCAAAATCAGAGGGGGAAACGCTTCAAAAATCAAAGGGATTTCTCCATAATCAAAGGGGGAACCACCCCAAATGCAAAAAGGAACCACTCCAAAAAGGAAATGGATTGCCCAAAAAGCAAAGAGGGAAGAATGCCAAGAAGCAAAGGGATTGCCCAAAAGTCAAAGGGGACACCGCCCCAAAAAGCAAAGGGAACACCCAAATAGTAAAGGGATCGCCCAAAAAGAAAAGGGGGAACTACCTCAAAACCTAAAGGGTGAAACAATCCAAAAACCAAAGGAATCACCCAAAACCCAAAGGGAGCACCACCACAGCACCCAAACAGATCAGCCCAAAATCAAAGGGGGGAGCACCCCAAAAAGAAAAGAGGGAACCACCTCAAAACCTGAAGGTGCAACACTCCAAAAACAAAAGAGATTGCCCAAAACCCAAAGGGAGAACCACCCAAAAACCCAAAGGTACTGCCCCAAAATCATAGGGAGAACCACCAAAACCCAAAGGGAGAACCACCCAAAAACCCAAAGGTACTGCCCCAAAATCATAGGGAGAACCACCAAAACCCAAAGGGAGAACCACCCAAAAACCCAAAGGTACTGCCCCAAAATCATAGGGGGGAACCACCTCAAAAACCAACAGGATTTCTCAAAACCCACAGGTGGAACCACCCCAAAGCCCAAAGGAGGCACTACACCCCCCAAAAAAAACCACAAAGAGATTGCTAAAAACTCAAAGCAGATGCCACCCTAAAGGGAATCACTCCAAACCCAAAGGGACCAACACCCTAAAACCTCAAGAGATCGCCCAAAATCTCCACCACCCCAAAACCCACAGGGCTCAAGCCAAACCCAAAACGGACAACACCCCCAGAAACCCATAGTGGGCACCATCCCAGAACCCAAAGCAATCCCCCAGAACCCAAACGGGCCATCATCCCATAACCCCAAGGCGACATCTCACCGGAGAATATCTCCCCACCGGCGGTGAGCAGCGCGGCGCCCACGGGGAAACGGCTGTAGGGGCAGTAAGCACAATCTTTGGCCTCACGACAGCGGCGAAGCAGCAGCTGTAGGCACTCACTGCCCTCCATGCCTGCACTGCCTGCCCCACACGATGACGCCGACGTGGTTAAATATTTCCCTGAATGCAACGCCCCGTTGGGATAACGCCCCATGCGTGCGCCGGGCATCATCCCTAACCTCGAGGTATTGGGATCAGGGTGGAGGTTGAGCTCTCTCTGAGCCTGCTTTCTCATTTTTTATATCTATCTATCTATATATATGTTTAATTTTTTTAGCGATTTTTCTATCTGCTTTGCTTTTTTTTTTCCGTGTGTGCTAAGCTTTCTCACACCGCCTTGTTTTCCTTCCTCCCCCAGCAGGATTTTGGTGCTGGGAACATCCTGGGGGGAGCCAAAGAGAGGTCAAAGGGAAGAAAACCATTGGGTGGCAAACAAGAAATAGCACATTTCCCCCCCCCCCCCCCCCCCCCCCCCTTTAGTTTCTCATTGACAGCCAACACGCAGCAGGGGAAGCGGATGGGAAGTCTTCCTGACTCTGCTTTCCCCTGCTGCTGCACAATCCTATTGCTGAGCATAGATAAGGACTGTTCTGTACCATCCTAAGGGGGTGGTCACGTCTCCCCTGTGTGGCTGAGCACCATTTTCCCATCCCTGATATCCCCATACATGGGGATAATAGGATGACTGCCTTCCTAGTTCCTTGTTCACTCTGAAACCTAATGATGGCAATGGGAAAAAAGGTTTTTTATAGCCAAAATCACCCGCACCCCTGTGCTATTTGCAGAATTCAAAGGAGGCACCACCCCAAAAGAGCAAAGGGATCACATGGAAAGCAAAGGGAGGACCACCTGAAAACCTAAAGGGTGCAACACAACAAAAAATAAAGGGATCATCCAAACCACAAAGGGGGAACCACCCCAAAACCCAAAGGGATCGCCCAAAACATGAAGGGTAAACCACCCCAAAACCCAGAGGGATCACCCAAAACATTAAGGAGGCACCATCCCAAAAATTTAAGGAATCACCCAAAAACCAAAGGAAATACCACGCCAGAACCTATAGGGGACAGCACTTCAAAACCCAAAGGAATCACCCCAAAATAAATGAGAGATCCACCCAAAAACCCAAAGGGATTGCCCCAAAATCAGAGGGGGAACTACCCCAAAAACCAAAGGGATTATCCAAAACCCAAAGAAAGTAACACTCCAAAACCCAAAGAGACCAACCAAAACCCAAAGGAGGCACCACCCCAAAACCCAAAGGAGGAACCACCCCCAAAAATAAAGAGATTGTTCAAAAAGCACTGGGAGAACCACCAAACACCCAAAGGAGTTGCCCAAAACCCAAATGGAGGCACAACCCCAAAACCTAAAGCAATAGCTCAAAACCCAAAGGGCCTAATACCCCAACAACAAAATGGATCACTCCAAACCCATAAGGATTGCCCCAAACTCAGTGGATTCCACCCCAAAACCCCAAAAGAATTGCTCCAAGCCCAAAGAGAGTAACACCTCAACACCCAAAGGGACTGCCCAAAAGCCAAAGGGATCAAGCAAAACCCAAAAGGAGCAATACCCCAAAAAACAAAGGAATTGCCCCAAAATCAAAGGGAGAACCATATGAAAAAAGAAACAGAAGGATCACTCCAAACCCAAAGGGGGCAGCACCCTCAAAATCAAAGGGGGAACTACTACAAAACCCAAAGGGATCTCCCGAAACCCAAAAGGGGCAGCATCCCAAGACCCAAAGGGATCTCCCCAAAATCAAAGAGAGAATCACCACAAAACCCCAAAGGGGGCTGTATCCCAAAACCTGAAGGGTTCTCCCCAAAATCAAAGGGGGCAGCACCCAAAAACCCAGAGATCTCCCAAAAATCAAAGGGAGAATCACTCCAAAACCCAAAGGGAGTTCCCCAAAATCAATGGGAGAATCACCCCCAAACTCAGAGGGATCTCCCCAAAATGAAAGGGGGGATCACACCAAAACCCAAAGGGATCTCCCCAGAATCAAAGGGGGAATCACCACAAAACCCAAAGGGATCTCCCCAAAATGAAAGGGGGCAGCACCCCAAAAACCCAAAGAGATCTCCCAAAAATCAAAGGGGGCAGCACCCCAAAAGCCAAAGGGATCTCCCCAAAATCAAAGGGACAACCACTACAAAACCCAAAGGGATCTCCCGAAACCCAAAAGGGACAGCACCCCAAAACCCAAAGGGATCTCCCCAAAATCAAAGGGAGAACCACCCCAAAAACCAAAGGGAGTTCCCCAAAATCAATGGGAGAATCACCCCCAAACTCAAAGGGTTCTCCCCAAAATGAAAGGGGGCAGCACCCCAAAACCCAGAGATCTCCCCAAAATCAAAGGGAGAACCACCCAAAACCCAAAGGGATCTCCCCAAAATCATTATCAGCAGGGAGCACCGCTGGGGCTGCTCTTTGGGCTCTGCACTCTGCAGGGGCTGCTCTTTCTCCCCGTAGCGGAGCAGCTCATCTCCCGCCGGCAGCAGCAGCTCAGCAGCATCCCTCCGTGTGCGCCGATGCGTTCTCCCTCCTCTCCACGCTTTGGGCTGCGCGCGGCGGCTGCCTGCACGCCCGGGGAGGTGGAGCAGAGCTCCGTTCTGCAGCAGCAGCATCATTGCATCCTCACCCAGAGCATCCCGCTGGGGACCGGCCCTTGGGAACGGGATACGGGGACAGACCCTCGGGTCGGGATCTGGATACGGCAGCGAGGTGATGCTGCCCTGGCGCCGCAGCAAGTTCGTGCTGGTGGAAAACGAACGTAAGTGCAAAGGGAAAAGCTTGGGGCCAGGGTTGGGCTATGCCTCGTTGCTGGCCGGCTTCCTGCGCTCCTGCCCCGATTTGTTGCCCGAATGCCCCTTGGAGAGGTTGGGTTCCGTGTTTGGAGGCCGTCGGCAGAAAGTGGAGCTGAATAAGGAGGATCCCACCTACACCGTGCGCTACCTGGGTAATGCAGTCACACTGCACGCCAAAGGAGAGGGATGCACCGAGGAGGCGGTGGGGAAAATATGGGCCAAAAGCGACGCGGGCGCCGGTGGGGCCAAGATGAAGCTGACCTTAGGGCCGCACGGCATCCGCATGGCACCAGGTGAGAAGGGTGCCCGGAGGTCGGGCCACGCATACCTGCTGCACCGCATCACCTATTGCACAGCCGACCGCCGGCATCCGAAGGTTTTTGCCTGGGTTTACCGGCACCAGGTGAAGAACAAAGCCGTGGTGCTGCGTTGTCACGCCGTCCTCGTCCCCAAAGCCGCCACCGCGCGTGCCATGGCCCTGCTCCTCTTCCAGACCTCCGCTTCAGCCTTTGATGAATTCAAGAGGCTCAAAAGGCAGAACGACGGCCGTCGCCTCCAGCAGCAGCTCCTGGGTGAAGCCATCGTCCCCTTGATGCCCCTGCGCAGGCTGCTCAATGCCAAGTGTCCCTATCGCCCGCCAGCCGAGCGCGCCCGCTGCGCCCCACGGCTCAGCTCCATTCTGGAGGAGGACGAGGAGGAGACAGGGGGCACGTGGGGGGACGGGGGTCCCACCGTGGTCTCTTTGGCCAGTGAGATGCGGGGGTGCAGCTTGCGTGGCCCAAGGGCCCCCATATGCTGAGCATCCCCATTGGCGTCCACTGCTTTGGCCACACCGGGTGCCCTCGGGACACAGCTGGACAATAGGGCTACGTCCCTAGCTCTCAAGGGGGGGGACACCTGGATCCCCCCATCCCTCTCCTGGAAATAAACCCAATCTGTGTTTTCTGCCTGTGACAGCGCCTGTCTCTCACCAGCCTGGAAGACTCGCGATGGTTTGTTGCTTTTCTATTTTGTATTTACCCATTTTTTTTTTACTCTTCTCAGGGTAAAATTTCCACCCTGGGGGGGGATGGAGAGAAGAGGGGGGGGTGCTGCACCTTCCATGCCATTCCACGTCAAGTGATGCTCATATTGCCATGGCAACGTGGGGGTTTAAATAGAGCAGGCCTACGCTTTGGGGGGGGCCTGCAGTGGGGACCCCAGGCCTGAAGCTGGGGGGCAAAGGCAGCCCAGAGAACCTAAATCCCCGGAATTTTACCCAAAATGGTTTATTTTCACCCAGTTCCTGCTCTCCCTGCCCTGACAGGAGCAGCAATGCGGGGGAACAGTGGAAGGAGCTGAATAAATGGGGCAGTGGGAGGGGGAACAAGGGGCACCGCTGCCCCACAGCCTGAGGAAGGGGATGCATCACTGGGAAGGGGTTTGGGTGAGCTCTCCCCACATACAACAGCCAGGGAGAGGACGGGCTGTGGTCCTGATTCCCTCTCTGAACTTTGGGGGCTGGCATCTGGTTCCCCCCACACAGGGCTCTATGGGGCTGGGGATTGAGATAACTGCCCCCCAGAAGCACTATGGGGTCAAGATTTGGGCTAACACTCCTAAAAATAAACCTGTGGAGCTTAGATATAACCTGCATCCTGCAGAATCCTGGGGTGAAAGACTGGGATTTGGGCTAAACATATCCTGAAAGCTCTATAAGGCTGAGATATAGGCTAATCCCTCCCAAAAGGTGCCATAGGGCTGGAATTTAGCTTGTTCACTTCCAAAATCCTGGGGGTGAGAGTACAGTATTTAGGCTAAACCCACCCCAAAGGGTTGGGGCTGGAATATGGGCTATCCTGCCCAAAAATCCTGTGATAAAAGGCTGGGATTTGAGTTAAACACACACCAAAGGCCAAGTGGGGCTGGGATTTGCGCTAATCTGACCCCCCAAAAAGCCCTGTGAGGCTGAGATTCGAACTATTTCCCCCAAATAAAGCGCAGCAGGGCTGGGATTTGGACTAACACCTCCTCAAAGCATCACAGGGCCAGGATTTAGCCTCTCACCTTCCAAAATCCTGCTGGTTGAACGCCGGGATTTGGATTAAACCCACCCCAGAGACCCTGTAAGGTTTGGCCAAACCTTCCCAAGGCGCTGCGGGGCTGCAGTGGGGCTCTATCAGCCCTCCACCCCATCTGGAAACCCTCCATCCATTTCTCGGAGGACCGCGCACTCTATGGTCACGGCGCGCTGTATGATAGAGCGCCGCTCGCTGTACGCCATCAATGACGTCATCACTCCGCGCCGCGCGGTTGCCGCGGTAACGGCGGCGATGGAAGGCGGCGGGCGGCCCTCGGCCCTGCAGGCCGCGCTGCTGGCGGCCGGCACGGGGCTGACAGCGCTGTTCTACTCGGTGTACCGGCAGCAGGCCCGTCTCGCCCGTGGCCTTCAGGTGGGTACGGGAGCTCCGGAGCCGGGTTGCGGCCTGCTGCCGGCTGCGGTGGCCGCTTCGGGCCTAGGCCGCGGCTTGCTCCCTGCTCTGGGCCTTGTTTTGATCCTTCCGTCCCATAGGGCGCCCGGAGGCTGCGGTTGGACGGGGAGCTGCGGGCCGTGCTGCTGGAGGCGCCGGGCCGCTGCGTGCCCTATGCTGTCATCGAAGGTATTGGCGTGGCAAAACTCTGAGCCTTTTTCCCCACTGCCTCTTTGGTTCAAGCGTTTTTGCCCAAAATCTGACGTTCTGCACCAAAAAAGTCTTCCTGTGTGCAGGTCGTGGCAGTAACAGTAATGGGGGGCATGGAGGAAGGAGCTGAGGAACTGGGGCTGTGCTGGGTCGAGTTGGGGCATCACTGCTCTGTAGCAGTGGGGAGGGGGATGCAGGTTCCTCCTTCACAGCCCCACTGGGGTGAACTGCCCCCAAAAACAGCACCCAGGGAGGGGACGGATGTGGTCTGATTCCTTCCAAATTTCAGAGGGGCAAATGCCAGCCCTAACAGAGGGTTCTATGGCACTGGGACTTGGGCTAGGGCTGATTCCTTCCATATGCACTGCAGGCTGAGATTTGGGCTAGCACCCCTAAAAACAAATCTGTGGAGCTTAGATATAGCCTGCTTCCTGCAAAACCATGGGGTAAAAGATTGGGATTTGGGCTAAACGTACCCCAAAAGCCCTGCATGGCTGGGGTTGGGGCTAATCCCTCCCTAAAGATGCCACAAGGCTGGGATTTAGCCTGTCCCCTTCCAAAATTCTTGGGGATGGGAATATGGAATTTAGGCTAAACCCACCCCAAAGGCCCTGTGGGGTTGGGATTTTGGTTAATCTGGCCCCACAAAAGCCTCTCAAGGCTGGGATTGGAGCTACTTCCCACCAAAAAAGCCCTGTGAGGGTGGTATTTGAGCTATTTCTCCCCTTAAAAAAGTACAGTGGGGCTGAGATTTGCGATAAGGCTTCCACCACCTCCACAAGACACTTATGGGCTAGGATTTAGCCTGTCTCCTTCCAAAACCTTGGGAGTGAAAGACTGGAATTTGAGCTAAACATATCCCAGAGCCCTGTGGGGCTGAGTTTTGGGCCTGTACCTCCATCAAAATAAAAAAAGCAAAGCACTTTGAGGCTGGAATTTGAGCTAATCTTCCCCCACAAAAAAAAAAAAAAAAAAAAAAGACTTGCACCACAACTCAAGCACTCCACGTGTTCCAGGTGTGGTGCGCACTGTTAAGGACACCCTGAGCAGCCAGTTTGTGGAGAACTGCAAGGGCGTCGTGCAGAGGCTGACACTGCAGGAGCACAAGATGGTGTGGAACCGAACGACTCACCTCTGGTACGTACCCATAGAACCATGGGACATCCTAAGTTGGAAGGAACCCATAAGGACCACCAAATCCAGCCCTTGGCTCCACACAGAAACACTTCAGATCTGAACCCTACGTCTGAGAGCAGTGTTCCAACACTCCTTGAGCTCTGGCAGCTCAGAGCCATGCCCACTGCTCCACACATATGGAACCTGGAGGCCATCCCAAGCAGCTGACTCAAGCATCTTTGTGCTGCACTGAACAGCCCAACAAAGCTCTTCCAATGAGAAGCTCTTCCCACCACACTGCAACTCATCATAGCTGTGAAGGTGATGAGGATTGGATGGGTTTAGCTGCCCCAAGAGCTTTCCCTTTGACAACACAAGGTTTTGCATGGGGGACACCACGAGGACACAAGCAGTATGACAAACATTGCTGTGTTGACAGCTGTGGTGTTTCCCTGCTGCTTGGCATTTTGTAGTATCATAGAATGGCTTAAGTTGGAGGGAACCTTAAAGATTATCAAGTTCCTGGGTAGATCAGGCCTTACCCAACCCAGCCTGGATTGCCAGTGTGGAAGCACTAATGCTTGTTTTATCCCCAGGAATGACTACGAGAAGATCATCCACCAGAGAACCAACACCACTCCCTTCGACCTGGCCCCGCTGGAGGACGGCACCGGCGTCGCCGTGAGGGTGATGAAACCACTGGAGGCCGCTGAGCTCAGCCTGGAGACGGTGCACGAGAAATTCCACCCCTCAGTGCAATCCTTCCCTGATGTCATCGGGCACTACATCAGCGGGGAGCGCCCGAAAGGCATTCAGGAGACAGAGCAGATGCTGAAGGTGGGAGCGGCGCTGACTGGCGTTGGGGAGTTGGTGCTGGACAACAACACCATCAAGCTGCAGCCACCCAAGCAGGGCTTGCGCTACTACCTGACCAGCGCCGATTTCTATGCTTTGTTGAAGAAACAGGAATCAAGTGCCAAGCTTTGGAAGATCCTGACCATCATTTTTGGTTTCAGCACGTGTGCTGTTCTCTTCTTCCTCCTGAGGAAGCAGTACAGGCACCACCGGGAGAGGCAGCACCTCAAGCAGATGCAGGAGGAATTCAGGCAAGCGCAGGAGCGGCTGATGCGCGAAGTGAACGCCGAGGGTGGAGAGACACTGAAAAATGCCTGTGTCATCTGCCTGAGCAGTGCCAAATCCTGTGTCTTCCTGGAGTGTGGGCACGTCTGCTCCTGCAGTGAGTGCTACCGAGCCCTCCCAGAGCCCAAAAGGTGCCCCATCTGCAGACAGGCCATCACCAGGGTGGTTCCCCTGTACAACAGTTAAAGCGCTGTGGCTCAGGGGGCTTTTTTTTGAGAGCTCTCTTGCAATAAGAGTTTGCTTGCAGCCTGCCCCTCTTGCTGCTGGGGTGGTTGGATTGCTGGGCATGAAAGGACTGGGGAAGGGGGAGGGAGCTGGAGGGGAGCTGGGCTTGAAAATGATTACAGGTGCTCAGGGTTCATGTGGTGCTCCTGGAGGCAAAATCAGTTTGTTTCTGCAATACCCTGGTGATAAAAAAAAAAACCTCTAAGACATGAGGAGTCCTGAGTCTGCGCAGTGTGGGCAGTGCTGCTGCCTAGCAGCTCCTCCAGCTGGCTGAGCAGGAGGTCAGAAGAACTTCTGCTTCATGCCAGTGGTTTTGTGATAAATGGTGAGCACAGGCAAGGAGCAGTGTTTCCATCATCCCCTCCTACCAGCACTGCCAGGGGCTGCACTTTGGCCACATGTGATTGTGTCATGCCAGAATGTGGGAATCGGGACATGGCAGCACTCTGGTTGATTTCTGCAGCGGGGTTTGGGCTGGGGTACAGCACAGGTTGTAATAAAACTGATTGAAAAGCGTGTTTGTCCTGGTTTGTTCCATCCCTGCAACCCTGAGGGCGCTGCCTTCCTCTGTTCGCGCTGCATTCTGCGAGCTGTAAGAAGCAGCATCCACCCCAGAAGCACGAGGTGGGGCCGGGGGTTCTCCCCTTCATCTTTGAGGAGTCTGAGGTTGGAGCAGGGTGCGGAGAAAACCCTCGGCAGAACCCAAAGGCAGGGCCGCATCCAGCCGGGCTGCAGGTGGCGGTGCGCTCCCGCTGCGGGAGGAGGCGGAAAAAAAAGCAGAAATAGCAAAAATCCGCAGGGACGGCGGCGCGTCTCCTTCCTTTCTCCCGCTGCCATCAATCCATCACCCCGCGGCGCGCTCGGCAGCACCGGGTGAGCCCAGGCTCTTCCCCCGGCGCTACAGGAGGGGATTCTTTTCTTACTCCGCGCAGCACCAAAAAGCCGTTTTTTCCACCCAAACCCCGTGCGGGTCCTGCGATGGGGGCTGTAGGGAACGCAGCCATCCCCGCAGCGCCCAAAATAAGCTCCTGGGGGCTGCGCTGCCCCCGCTGCCTTTTGCCTCCTGTTCCCCAGCTTCCCCCGCGGGATGCTGGGCGCAGACGCAGCGTTATGCAAGGAGCTGGCAGCCGGGCTCTGCGGCTGCGTTCCCAGCGAGCCCCAGCCCCAAAAACACGGGAACCCCGGCCTTCACCTGCCCCAAAATAAGCTGTTCTGCCCCCAGACGAGCTGGAGTCCCTGTTGGTTGCGAGCTGTTTGCAGAGATGGTGCGAGCCTGCTTCGTGCAAACCGACTTTTTGTTGCTATGCCTGCTGTCGTCCCCCCCCCTCGACTTTTTGCAGGCGTTGTACCGAGAATGTGCCGGGGATGCAGCACTGCCCCCAGAACTGTTGCTCACCCCGTGGTTTGCTTTGTCAAAAAAATAATCCCCTCTGCAGCCACTGGGCAGAAAGATCAGTGTGAGCTGGGAAAGGTGGGTGTGGGGATGTGGCATAGGGGCACGGTATGGGGACATGGCACAGGGACACTGTATGGGGACATGGCATGTGGATGTGGCACAGGGATATGGCATTGGGACATGTGACACACTACTGGGACGTGACATGGGGACATAGCAGAGGGACACAGCACAGGAACATGGCGTGGGAACACAGTACAGGGTCATGGCAAGGGGACATGGCATGAAGACATGGCACAGGGACACAGTGCAGTGATGTGGCACGGGGACATGGCATGGGGACACAGTATAGGGCACAGGGACAAGGCATGGAGACGTGGCATCAAACACAGTACACGGCCATGGTGTGGGGTCATGGTGTGGGGATGCAGTACAGGGACATGGGACAGGGACACGGTATGGGTACGTGGTACGGGGACATGACACAGGGATATGGCATGGGGACACGACACAGGGGCATGGCACAGAGACACAGCACAAGGACGCGGCATGGGGACACGGCATGGGGACCCAGCATGGGGACACGGCATGGGGACACAACACGGGGAGGTGGTATGGGGACATGGCATGAGGACGCGGCACGGGGAGATGCCATGGAGACACGTCATGGGGACACGGCACGGGGACACAAATGGGTCCACGACACGGGGACACAAATGGGTCCACGGCACGGGGACAGGCACGCTTCCACGGGCAGCGCAGGGCAGCGCTGAGTCGTTCCGGGGCATCACCCCCTCCCGGCTCGGGGGATCCCCGCACCCTCCGGGAAGGGTTGCGGGGTGGGGGGTTGGGGGGGGACCGGCCCATCCCGGGGGCGTTCCCGAGCCGCCCCGCCCCGCTCCCGCCCCCCGCTCCTCTATCGCCGCCGCCACCGATTCCGCCGCCGCGGGACCGCCGGAGCCGCGGGCAGCGCCGGGCGGGCAGCGCCGGGATGTGACGGGGCGGCCGCCCCGCTCCGCCGAGCCGCAGCCCCAGGGGGGCTCGGGACCCCCCGCGGCCCGGGAGGCTGTCGGGGGGGGGGGGCGGCGCCGGGCCCCCCTCTGCCACCGCCGCCACCGCCGCCCCGGCCATGGCGGAGGGGCCGCCGTACGGCGGGGGGCAGCTGGCGGGGGGCGCGGCGGGGGGCGAGCTGCCCTTCCCCGTGCCCCTCCGCCACGGCCCCGACGCGCTGCTGGCGGCCGGGCAGGGCAAGCGGCCCCCCAAGCTGGGGCAGATCGGGCGCAGCAAGAGAGGTGGGTGAGCGGGGACGGTGATTGGGGGACCGTTGGGAGAGACTGGGGTGGGGGGGGAGAGGGTCAGCCTGAACCGGCAGCCCGGGGATGCGGCTCATCCCGTAGCGGGGACTCCGGGGATGCTCATCCTGCTCGTCACTATGGGGGGGGGGCGGCTCACCTTGCAGCGTTGGGATGCAGCACATCCTGCACTCTGGGATGCTCCCCGAGGTACCGGGACTGAGCATCCCCTGCGGGACGCCATGCAATCAATCCCACCCTGGGGACGTGCCCTAAGGTGCTCACCTTGCACCGAGCATCCTCGGGGACTCGGCACATCTCACACCCTGAGGACGCAGCACATCCCTGGATGAGCATCCCGTGTCCCCAACTCATCCCTCCCCAGATACCGGCATCCCACGACCCCCAGTCCCTCCGCGGGTTCCGGGCTCTGCCACACCGCGTTGACGGCCGTCCTTTTGTTTTCCCATTTTCCCCATCCTTCCAGTGGTTATCGAAGACGATAGGATCGACGACGTGCTGCAGAACCTCTCCGAAAAGGCCCCCCCCGGCGTGTAATGCCCCCTCGGGAGGGATTTCTGCTCTCTGAGGTTATCAGCCAAAATCCCAGCACCGCCGGCGCGAGGACGAGCGGTGCAGAAACCCCCAACCCGATGCGAAATTACACCTAAAAATAATAACAATAACAAAAACCAAGAACAAAAAATCATCGTCATCATCACCCCTCCCCTGCTCCCAAATGCTCCCGATGGAGTTCTGTCGTGGGGCTGCCCCATGGGGGTCCCAACCCCCGCCGAAGCTGCGTTCAGGCGGTGGAACCCAAGCAGAGGTTCCCTTCCCGGCGCTCCGTTCGTTTGGGTTTTTAATTTGATGTCTTTGGATGTTGGCGAATGCTATAAACCTATAGATATCTCCGTTTCATTTCGGTCGCGTTTTGAGGTTGGCGGGGGGAAAGAAACTTTTATAAAGGGATGGGTTTTTTGGGATGGGGTGTGGGGGGGTGGGGGGAATGGGGTTTTTATTGACGGCGCTTGCACATGGGAGCGATGGGAGGATGTCTATGGGGTCGCAGCTTTCCTTACAGCCATGCAGTGTGGTGTGGGTGACCTTCGTTTGGTTCATTTTTCTTCTCTCGTGGCATTTCCCTCTCTCTCATAGACCGTCTGTAAGGAAACGGATCAACGCCGACGAGAACTGCTGTAACCCGGAGTGCCAAAACGCAGGGCTCCGTCGGGCTCTTGTGGGGTTTTTCTTTTCTCTTCTTTTTAATTTTTAATTTTTAACTATTTCGCATGAGATGCAAAAAAAAAAAAAAAAAGAAAATATAAGAAAAAAGAAGAAAAAAAAAAAAAAAAGGGAAAAAAAATAATATATATATATATTCCCCTCTTGTGATGAGGGTGATTTTGTTGTATGTTCGCGGCTCGGAATGACGGAGCGCGGCCGGGTGTCCTCTCCTCCTTTATGGGAATATCGTGTCTGGTGCACTGTCCTCCACACACAGGGCTATTTCTGCAATGATGTACCAATAAAAAAGGAAAATGAGACAAAAGGCGGAGTGCGCCTGGGCTGCTGTGCTTTGCTGAATAATTAATGGATGTTAATATTCATTAGGGATGGGGTCATTGGGGTGATTGGTGGGAAAACACCTCTGGGGCTGGGGATACGGTGATTGATTCAGCGTGAGGTGGATGGGATATGGGGATCCCAAAGGGTGGGGGGTTCCCAAAGACTGGAGGATCCCAACAGTCCCTCAAATTGGGGATCCCAGTAGTCCCCTTGGTTATGATGGAGGGACCCCGAAAGGCTGGAGGACCTCAGTGGTCCTCCAGGTGGTTGGGAACCCCAATAGTCCTCTTGGCTATGAGTGGAGAGACCTCAAAAGGTTGGAGGACCCCAATAGTTCTTCAAACTGGGGACCCCAGTAGTCATGTTGGCCATGGGTGGAGGGATCTCAAAAGGTTGGAGGACACCAATCATCCTCTAAATGTTTGGGGACCCCAATAGTCCTTTTGGTGATGGTGCAGGAACCCCAAAAGATTGAAGGACCCCAATCATCCCACAAACTGGGGACCCAGTAATCCCCTTGGTTATGGTGGAGGGACCTCAAAAGGTTGGAAGACCTCAGTAGTCCTCCAGATGGTTGGGAACTCCAATTGTTTGCTTGGCTATGGGGTCACCTTGCCCTCCAGAATCCAGGAGGTCCCCAAAACAGTGCTGTGGTTGCACCCAGGTTCATAATCTGGAAGTTCCATTGGGTGATTTTGGCTACGATATTCACCTTTTTGGGGTTGGGATCAGGGCTGTCACTGGGACTGCTTTTGTCCCCCTTGGGGCTGACCCATGTAGGGCAGCTCTGCTGTTCATTTCTTATTACTTCTTCCAGCCCACGCAGCTTCCTACAGGTGTAGAACAGATGGGAATATCAGATGAAACTTTCCCATAAAAACTCTTATTTTAATTATTATTATTTAACCCTGTCGGCACTGCATTTCCCAAGGGTTCAGCCATGGCTGCAGCTGGCATGGGCTCAGCACTGTTGAAAACCCCACAGAAGGAAATCCACAGAAAACCCTAGACCACAGGAAATCCTACAGATGGATGGCACCTGCTTGGGTAGATTTACCAAAAAGCTCTCATTTTCATAAAAATGGGGTCTGTCCTCACTGGCTGTTGGATACATCTGCCCATTTCCTTTCCCTATACCCAAATCCCCCAAAGCCAGGAGGAGCTGGGAGGAAGCAGAGCCCAGTGCTGAGCACAGCGCGATCCTGCAGAGCCCCAGAGCCGCTGCCATGCATCTTTCATGTGCCATAAATAAGTAATGGGGCGGGCAGCAGAGGGGCCAGGAAGGGGGGAGAGCAGTGCTGGGGAAGTGAGCATGGTGCCAAACCCCGCAGTGCTCATAGGAGGACGATCCCACACCCAGGTGGGCACTTCCATCCCATTCCCCTATGGGATTTGGGGCTGCATGATTGCCTGTGGGCTCTGAGCCCTCCCATCCCTGTATATGGGGCAGGAATTCAACATCTGCAGTGGGAAAAGGCAAAGGATCCCATGGGGAACTCCCTGTGCTGGGATGCGGGTGGGGATGCCCCATCCGTGGGGTCCTCCTTATGGGTTTCACCCTTCCCTAAAGCAGCTGACGGATGGGAAAAGCCATTTCTAACCTCGAAACAAAGCCTCTGGGCAGCTCTATGCCTCCCCCTGCCAAAAAAATAAAAAAAAAAAACGGGGGGAGGGGGGAAGAAACAGAGCATGGCTGCTGCAGAGCAATACTACAACATGAGTGCTGCCCTGAGAAGAGCCCCGCTCTGCAAAACCCACAGAAAGCGCGGGCACTCGCGGCACCACCCGAAATAAATCCTCATCCCCCAGCAGAAGTAGGGCACAGAAAGTAGGGCAGCAGCTCCCTGCAAAATCTTTTATTTATCGCCCAGGGAGCGGCGGTGCAGGGCATGGCCGTGAGAACAGCGGGGTCCTGGGGGTGGGATGGGGCTGTTCTGTCCCTAAATGGTGCCACTATGGGATGGAAATGGGGTCGGGGTTGGCTGGGTTGTGTTGCTGCAGGGAGTGATTGCCTTGAGGAAGAATAGGGTCACAGAGTTATTGGGGAATTGGGGAAATCAGTGGGAAAAAACACAGAACTGGTCGTTCCAATGGCATTGGTCATTCCTACAGCATTGGTTGTTCCAATGGCACTGAACTCTTCCTGTGCAGGAACTGGAAAAACCCGATGGCTGATTGCTTGCCCATGGGTTTTTGCCCACCCCTACTATGCTGTGGGCCATGGGGCCATGCCCACCTCCACATCCCCACATAGGGATTTGGGGGGCTTTGCCCCCATCACCCTCCTCCATCCACAGCATCAGGAGCTCATGGGGCTTTTGGGGGCTGTTCCCAACTGCTTTGGGTTCTCCTTTAGAGGAGTAACATCTTGCTGCATGGAACCAAAGCGTTGGGTTGAGTTTTCCTTCCAGGAAGGAGGATTTAGGGTTTTCATTCTAGGGAAAAATAGGAAGAGAAGCCCTGAAGTGCCCATAAGATACATCCTCACGTTGCTGTGTGGGGAAACATCATCACCAGCAGGAAAATGAGAGCTTCCCACCCCAGATTTGGGAATTACCATAGCTGTAGGAGCCAGGTGCAATGGGGAAGACATGGAAGCATCCCACAAAACCCCCAGATTCCTCCTATGTGCTGTGCTGTGCCCCCCCCCAGGCTTTTTGTTTTCCTTCAGCCTGGAGTTAGAATTCCTCCACTCCTGCCAACAGCTGTTCCCGCTAATGAGGACAGAAGCAAAACATCAGACATCTTAATTCATGCATTGCTCGAGGTGTCGAACTGTTGCTTTACAATCACACGTGGGAGGCACGGCACCAAAAAAAAAAAAAAGAAAAAGACCATCATTTTTCACCAAGGGACCCGAATGCCATGGTGAGCTCCAAGCCCTGGTTCGATAGTCAGAGGTTTGAAGGGAGGAATTCTTATTTTGAAGGGGTGGGCACACACACACAGCCCTGCATTTGTGGGTTTAGGGGCATCTAACTCACCTCATCTGAGCATCGTTGATGATTTTTGGGGTGGGAGATGGTTTTGCTCCTTCCGATGGGTTGGAGCACCAGCTCCCAACTTTGAGGGGGGGAGGGGGGGGAGGGAAGGGAGGGGAAGATGGCAAAAATAAAAGAAAAAACGACCAACACAAGTCTGAAATTTAGAAAATAAATAAATAAGTAGAAGCCCATCATGTGATGCAACACCTTAAATACCGGGCGGTGAGTCAACGGTGCTGGGGTTGGGGGGGGGAGAAGATCCAGGCTCTGTGACTCAGTGTGGTGGTTCTTGTTTCCCTCAATGGGCACTGAGGAGCTCATGCCAACGTGACCCTGTGAATATCTCTGTGCTGTGGGGAAGGAGAGGACTGGAGGGCCACGCTCAGCCCCAAATCTAGGGATAAATGGTCATAAATTTAGGGATAAATGGCCCCAAATGTAGGGACATGGTTAGTGGGCATGGCGGTGATGGGTTGATGGTTGGACTTGGTGGCCTTAAAGCTCTTTTCCAACCTTAACGATCTTATGAATCAACCCAAGGGATGGGAACCAGAGATGTCATCCCAAATCCTGCACAGGCACATGGGGAAAAAAGCAAACAAACAAACAAATTCCCCAAAATACAATTCCTAATGGGTCTGAAGCCTATCCAAAATCCTTTGGAATGGGTTGACCCAAAACAGAGCTGCGAATCCCCCAGTGCAATGGGTAGAGAGGAAGGAGGAGAAGCTCACAGAGCTCCAGCTTGGCTTTTCTTGCTCATCTGCACTGTGATACTGCTGCATTCAGGAGGTTTAACGACTCCAACAATTAACGGCACCTCCCCAGAGGTGCAGCCTGCAGCCCAAATCCTCACCCTGGGGGAGAGGGGATTTGGAATGGGGCCGAGATTGGAAAAACCAGAGAGGTCCACAGCACCATCAGCACGAGCCTCCTTTTTTTTTCCTCTCACGTAACAAATCCTGATTTTCCCAGTTAAATTACAAACCTCAAAACGGACCTGTGGAAAGAAGGGGGTGGGGGGAACCTTTATACCACCTGCAGCTCTCCCTGATGTCCTCACCTCTGTCAGCACAGGGAAAAAAAAAACCCCATGGGAATGGCATTAGGAACATCTGCCTGACCCAGGGGAGCAGTGCAGAGCCCGTGACCCCCCGTGGGGCACCCAAATCCCACCCCCAAACCCCCCCCCCAGTGCCCCTTTTCTCCCGTGGGTCGAGGCGTTGGTGGATGCAGCTATTTTCAGGATGTCAGCGCCCACTGACAGCCCCACACGGCGCAGGGTGCATATGGCTCTTTATATATAGGATGCACGCAGGGACACGTCTCTGCCAAGCGGTTCCCCAGCGCTCTGCTCCCAAAACCTCAGGAGTTGGAGTTCAAAGTGCATCCCACACCCATGGGGGGGGGGGGGGGTCCGAATTCTGGGGCTCTGGGTCCCAACGGGCAGAACCCACGTGGGTTCGTGGGTGGGTCGGTCACCCCGTATTGTTCTCAGTTGCTGGGATTTGGAGGTGCAGCCAAGGAAAAAGCGACCGATTGTGTAACGTTTGGCTCCAAAAGCTCCTTACGCAGTCGCATCTTTCTATTGGATTTCCCTTGCCCCGCGCCGCTGATTGCTGCGGTATTTATGTATAAATAGAAGCTGTCTTCCCATAATCTGCTCGTTTCTCCTCATTAACTCGGGGACTGAGCTCAGGCTCTGGTTTTGGGGATGCTGAGACCCGGTTGGTGCACAATGGACCCAAATCCATCCATTTTCCCCCCAGACTGAGGTCAGTTTTTAAGCTGTTCTCTTTGGGTTTCCATGCGACCAAGGCAATGCAGCCCATTCAGGGCACCTGGTGCCCTTGTACCCCTCACAACCAGATAGATGCTGAGGAGAGAGGAGAAGAAATCCCCCCAAACCCCCATTCCCCAAATCCCCCATTCCCCAAATTCCCATTCCCAAAACCCACATGTTTGCTGCCAAGCATCCCTCCTCATCCTCACCCCTTGGGGCACAATTCCTTCCCGTCCCCTTCCTCCATCCTCGCAGCGTTTCTCCCTCATTTAGGGAACGTCTCGATTTGCTAATTATTTTTAATCATTATTACTCATCTCTCCCTTCCTCCCCCCCAACACTCGGTCCCGGCTCCGTCAATCACGCTAATAGCTGTTTACAACCTATCATCAACTCTTGCATAACATCCACATGACTGTGCTCGGATGCCTCCGACACCCAGAGCTGCCCTGGGCTCTATTTTGGGAGAGCTGAGCCCACGGCACCGAGTGGCTACGTCCCTCCTGAGAAGCATCCCTCGATGGTGGATGGTGTTGGTGGGTTTCATAACCCGCCCATGCTCCGCTGATGCACCCCAGCTATGGAGAACACAAGGTTTGAGGTCTGGCCCTGGCTATGACTGCAGCTCAGCACCAGGGATGCCCCACTCGGGTTGGTTCTCTCCCCAAAATCCCAACATCCAGCCCACCTGACCCCCGGAATTGGGGAAGCCACTCTCTCCCCACGCAAATATTTATTTTGCGCGGCACGGAGGGGCTCATTTATTAAGCTCCAGCTGATGACTGTATTCAAACTCATTTCTCCTAATGAGGCACTCACAGTCGCTCCAGCAACAGCATCCCAGCAGCCACACTGCATCCAGCCCTCAGCCAAACCCGGAGAGAACCATGGGGACCTGTCCCTACGCCAGGCAGACCCCACGGCCCTCATCAGCAGCCCAATTAGGCAGCTGGAGGTGGCTAATGAGCCCAGAAAACAGTGGGCAGGCACGGCCTGGTGCTTGGCTGGCATGTGGTAGGGTGAGAGGATGTGAATAAATGTTTGCCATCCGTGTGGCTCAGCCAAGGGAGCAGCCGTGGGGCAGGGAGGGGAGTGGGGAAAGGAATGGGATGGTGGTGGGGAAACACCTGCAAGAAGGCACTCATGTAACTGCTCACCAAACCCCGCAGCCATCAGTTCTCCACGCACCACGGAAGCTCCAGGTGCATCTCCTTCCCCTTTGAGCCCAAATGAGGAAATTAAAAGGTGGGTTTTTTGACTTTTTTGTTGTTGTTGTTCTCCCATTTTGCACGACCCACACCACGCTGCAGACAGTTGGGGTGACCCCAAAAACAAGGCAGGCTCCGATTTACCCAGACAACACGGCAGTGCCAATGATCCCATCACACAGACCCCAAATGGTGACACTGATGCTCACGGACCCCTGACTGCACACACACACACACACAGCACAGAAACCTGAAGCACACTGCAGGAGGAAAAGGCAACGTGACGTGCCCACATCCCTGGAGTTTTCCAGGTTGGATCTTTGGGGTGAAGTAGGATGCTTCAGGCTGGGAAAATGCCCCCTCGCAGCCTGTCCTCTGCTCCCCACAGCTCTACAAGGAGTGACATGGACAATATGTTGGTCGACAGCACAACATCAGAGCACTGCACACAAAGGATGCAGCATTTTGGCAGGGAGTACAACCCCCCAAGCTGTTTTGGCACAGGACGTCTCTATTTGGTGCCTGGGGGGCTGCTCTCCCTGCCCACCCACTCTGCACAGAGCCCCTGAGGCACGCTGCCATCTGCAGGAGCTCTGCATGGGCTCCTGGAAAGGCAGCCTGGGGCTACAGAGCTCAGCACCATCCAGATTTATGGTCCCCATCTGCAACTGATGCAGCTCATGGGGCTCAAGGCAAGGCAGCATCCTCCCAGCTCCTTGGTCCATCACAGCAGGTTTCCCTTACAAAATGCTGAGGGATGCTCACTTCTGCTACAAGATAGCTGGGATAGGAGAAGCTGAGGATGTGGGGATACATGGATTTCTGGAGGGGACACAGCGTCCTGGCAGCAATGAAGGAGCAAGAGCTGACTGGGAACCAGAAGCACACAGCTAACATCTTAGTGCAGGGACCGTCCTGGGGCAAAGCACCAACCCCTGAGCACAGCATTTTGCCCAGGCTGCTTCTGTTTGCTGACCAGCTGGAGGCTGCCTGGTCAGCTCACACAGTCCCTGTGGTGGCATCCTCAGGGATGGGTCCCTATCCTGCTGCTCCATCTCACACACTGCCTGGGTTGTAGCACAGCAGGTTGAACTCCAGGTTCTCATCCCAGTGCCTGAGCAAGACAAAAAGCTGCTGGGCTGCAGATTTCACAGCAGCCAGGCTGCAGCCCTGTGAGAAGTCCTGCTCACCCAGCCATAAGCTGGCCTTGGCAGCCACCAGCTCCCACTCAGTGAAGTGGGATGCTGAGCTGTGCTCCAACCAGGCCAGTGCTACAGCCGTGGCCCACAGCATCCCCTCGGGCTCTGTCTGCTTCTGCAGCTCGATATCCAGCAGCAGCATTTGGACATCAGTGCTTTCTGCCTCGGAGATGCTGGCATCCCACCGCTCGGCTGGGGAGTGGCGGATGGTGATGGCAGGAGGGGAGAGCTCGCTCTCAGCTTTCAGAGCTTTGGAGATGCTTTCCATGGCACCTCCTGTGTCCCATGCAGAGCTGCTGCTGGGGATCAGGAGCTGCCGGCTGTGCACGGGGCTTCCACGCTGCTCTGGCCTCTTGGTGCTGGAGGAGCTGGAGGGGCTGAGCGCCAAGCGGTGGCAAGAGAAGGGTGAAGTCCAGCAGAGCTTCTCCATGGGGATGCTGACTGCCTTGCAGAAGGCACTGTTCATGAGGAAGGCACCGCAGGCTAGCTGCAGGGACACCTGCAAGGAGAAGCAAGAAGCTCTGAGATACCAACCATATGCACGCCGTGTGGGGAAAGAGGAGATCCCCATCTCAAAATGGACCTCCTGACACAGTGCTGGATGGCCCAGGGGTTCCCTGCCCAGGGCTGAGCTGCTCACCAGTGGAAGGTAATCGGTGCTTTCGCCATCACTCTCAGAGCTGGCTTCGCTCGCTCTGCCTGGAGATTTGCTCATGAAACCTTTGGCAGCCCGAGTCAGCAGCCTGGTCTTCTGGAGGGTAAGCCTACAGGAGGATGGGATGGCAGCCATAATGTGTGCATCCCCTCCTGATGCCCACCTCTCCATCCCATCCAACCACCCCTATCCTCAGCCAACGCAGTGATGGTCACTGTTCCGTGCCGGATACATGAGACCTACAGGTGGCAGAGGAAGGCAGGGTGCACTCATACCTTGCAGCAAAGATGCTCTCGATGGATTTTGGGGAGCGTGTGGAAGGAGCAGACAGGCTCTGGAATGGCACTGGGAAGAAACACCAAGAAAACGCGACAGGAGAGTGACTGTCAGAGCACAGGGAGCAAAACCTACAGTGCTGGGGTGTGAGCTGCTGCGTCTGCTAAAATCCTGCCTCTCCTCTTGCTTGTGTGGGATACAGGGTAACCGAATTAAAAAATGAACGTGAGGAAATCTGTGCCAAAGGCTCTGTGCCTTTCACCTCTGAAAGCAGCCAGGTCTTGTGCTCACAGGCCTAATTGTAGGCAATAGAGTTTAAAAAATAAAAACCAGAATACTCAGCAGAAAACTGGATGAGGAGCCCAAATCACTGACTCAATTTCTCAGCAATTATGCTGCAGCAGCTCCAAGCTGTTTTCCTGCCCATTCCCATCCCCAGACCTGACTCCAGAGAGCAGCAATCATGGGGGCTGAAGCCACGTGCAGAACAAGAACGGTGCTGGAGCCCAAAATGTGGGGCCTGGCATGTAGCTGTGAGCTGCCCCACCTTTGGGCACCCTGGAAACCTTCCCTTACCTTCAGGGATGCGGCAGCGCTTCCAGCTGGAGGACAGTGGGGTGCTGCAGGGTGACAGCCTGGGCTCATCCATATCTGCAAGGAAGGAAGGAAGCACAGCAGCATCGTTACCAACCTGAAATCTCCCTTGTGCCACCTCCAGCCCCCGAGCACGGAGGTGATTTTAGTACTGCCACAACCCTGACAGCAACAGATGCAGTCCCAGCCCAGCTTGTCTTCATTAGCAGAGGATTTGGTGACAGGCAAGTGCCTCACAGCCCCTTGCCTCTAATTATGCCCCGCTTCATCCCTCATGCTATCCGTGCTACGGCTGCCAATTAAGTTCCAAGCATGGTTGGCAGCCACTGTCTGTGGTTTGGGAGTTTCAGGGCAAATTGCAGCTTCTTCCCTGTTTAAGGAGAAGGATTCCAGCCAGACGTGTGGTTAATTGCTCTGAGCAAATGGCTGGGCTTTTTTTTTTTTGGGGGGGGTAGGGGGAGGGGTAGGCACTGTACATAACAGGACAAAAGACCAGAGAATATATCAGTTACAAAAAAAATAAAAAATAAAAGGTTATATCTTCATAAAATCATAGAATGGTTGGGTTGGAAGGGACTTTGCAGCAGGCTGGTTGCCAACCACTGAACCAGTCCATCTTTATGGACTGAGCCAACGAGAACAACAGCAAGGAGACACAGCCAAAGCCAGGTCTTACCCATGCCATAAAATCCATCATCTCCATTCTGGCCACATGGTGAGAGGGGTTGTGCAGAGGAAAGGCCACGACACCTCCTGCGCCCCGAGCTGAGGCTCCTATGGTCACCTTGCTTGGACAGAGCCCCTTGGTATGAGAATTGCTGGTGTTAACCAGGGACTGGGACAGCAACAAACCCCAAAGGCCGGTGAGCTCAGTCCCTATGCCATCCCAACCCAAGGCTGGCCACAGAGAGTGAGGTTGTTGCCACCACGAGTGACAGGAACCCAGCAAAGGATGGATGGACCAGCCTTAGGTGCACAGATCTGGCGTTGGGTTGAGCCTTGTCAAGGTTCCTGGGGTGCCCCCCACCCAACCCCCACATTACCTGTGTGGCTGTACTCAATGATGGGGGGCAGGTAGGTGCCACTGCTCAGCTCCACCGGCACGAAGGCTGTGTATTTACTGATGACATTGCAGGCCTTGCTGGTGTGGATGGCGTTGAGTTGGTATCGCCTCCCTGGCCCTACGTGGGACAGACACCAGCATTAGAGACCTCTGCATCCTCTCTGAAAAGAGCAGTGATGCGCTGGCACAGCTGCCCAGGGAGGTGGTGGGGGTCACCGTCCCTGGAGTTGTTCCAGAACCGTGGAGATGTGGCACTGAGATGTAGGCATGGTTGGGGTGGGTTGATGGTTGGATCCCTTGATCCAATGAGGCCCCTTCCAACCTGGGATGTTCCATGGCTCTATGGTGCTACATGAGGCCGAGGCTCCGTTACCGTGCTCGATGTCGCACTCCCTCTCGGCGAGCAGCTCCAGGTCCCTGATGACAGCCCTGGCTGCCAGCTGGTGGAAGGTCTCACTCCACACGTCCTCCTTGCCCTCCTCCTGCCCGTTCTGCTCTCGGAGGAGCGCAGGGAGGTCGAAGGTGATTTCCCATTGCATGGGCTCACCGCCCCGCAGCCCCTTCACCACCGCCTTGCAGGAGGCGCGGGGGGAGCGCGGGGACCCCCGGGTGGCACCAGAATCCCAATCCTGGAGCTCCCAGTCTGAAGAGGTCTCTGTTTCAAATGTGAAGGACGGATGTTGGGCAGCCTCTGAAGAGAGGAGAGAAATACGTAATTAATCACAAAGACATAATGAACCCTCCCTCGTGGAGGCACTGAGCGGTGGCATTGAAGGATGTGGCTGGTGGGCATGGTGGTGATGGGAAGATGGTGATCTTGGTGGACTCTTCCCACTTTGGCGATGCTATGATTCTGTCAGTAGGGATGGGTTGACTCGATGATGTTAGTTTGTCATTTCCAACCTCAAACATTGTATGATTCTATTAGCAACGCCACCCAAATCCCTCTCCCACATTACCTGGCTCCCCAGGGCTCCGGCTGTCGGATGAGGACTGCAGGCTGGCATCCAGAAGCCCTGAACCCCATCCCACGGCCACGTCAGGTGCTGGTGGGGATGTGGGGCAGTGGCAGGAGGACACGTGGCTCTGCTGCAGCAGGGAGGGCCGGCGGGCGCCCGCACCACAGATCCAGGTGGTGGAGATGCGTGGGGTGGCAGTGAAGGGCTGGGGAATGCAAAGACATTGAGCTTTAGCCACTGGCTGGGACAGACCTGCAGGGTGTCCCCGAAGCACCAAGGTCCCAGGGTCTCTCTCCCTATTTGGACAGGAGGTGAAATACGGGTTTCAGCCCTGCAGACGTTTTAATGGCTTCATTTGGGAGACAAGGGAAAGAAGAGAAATGGAAAGATCAAGCACCAGTTACTTGGTAACGGGAGGAGGAGGGTGCAGGGGATGGGGAGAAGGGAGTCATTTTATTTTATGTTTTTAAACAAGGCTGTTTCTCTACTTGCAGGATACATGAATCTCCCCTGCAGCATCTCTGATGCTGCATCCAGCACGGAGAGCAGCAAGCAGCCAGCCTCCATCACTCACCACCAAGGGTGTGATGCTCTATGAACCCACCAACAAAACAGGGAGGCAGAAAGCTGTTTGCGTGGCCCAAAACAGGAGCACCCCAAGCTCAGAGTCGGTCAGAAGTGCTCCATCCCATCCCGAGCTCCATCTCCATCCTGAGCTCTCCTCTCAACAAGGGAAGGAGCCAAGCACTGAGCTGCCCATTGCCAGCCCTGACCTTTCCATCCCAGCACGGCGTGTGTGGAGGCGAGCAGAGGGCTCACACTCACGGCCCAGTAAATGTCAAGCCCTGGCAGCCAGCCTCGGAGAGCCGCCAGGAGCCCTCGCAGCACAAGGGACAGCAAAACCAGGCAGCAATTAATTACGAGCAGGATGCACGCTGGTAATGGTTTACTGCCCTCCTGAAGGGAGTCATTTCCATCTCTGCCTTCATGCTGAGCATCCCACGCACAGGCAGGATGCTCTGCGGGCCTCAGAAGTACAAGGAAGGTCGCAGGTATCTCCCAAACCCATCAGCTTGCTTCTCCTGTGCTTTTCGTCACCCTCCCTGCTGTTGCTACAGGGCAGAGGCTTCATTCCCATCCCCTCACCTCCGGCCCCCCTTCACCCCAGTGTCAGCAGAAGAGAAATGAGACCCCAGCATCCCTCTGTGTTTCCATGGGAACAGAAGTGCACGGCCGCTGCACATCCTCCCAGTGCAGATTTCAGCACTGGGCATCACAGTTATGCTGAGGACATGAGAAAAACCATCCCCACCCTTCCACAGTGCAGCTCCAAGCCCTTTCCAGGACTGGGTACAGCATGTAGGTCATCACATGCATCCAGCCTGAAGCTGTGGGATATGCTTTGGGACCGACCTGGGGACCTTGGAGGGCACAGATGTGCCACGCTCAGATTATACACCACAGCCAAACGCTGGGGAGATGGGCAGGAGGGAGCCTGGGGATGAGACAACAGCAAAGCTAAACACAAACCACGCAGGTGTGGGAGGAGGAGAGGCATTCAGCAAACAGAAGCAGGGAGCAGGATCCCATCAGCATCCCATCTGTGTTTGCCACATGCTTGTGGCATGCTGCAGCACACCCACCAGGGCTGGCATGACCCAGGCTCCTTCTCCTCCACAACCCAGATGCTCCCAGTGCCGTGGGCTCATCCTATGGCACAGGTAGCATCCCTGGGGGTAACCCACCTGGAAATGCACAGGCTGTAGCTCAGGGCTGAGCTGCTGCAGGTCCTGCAGCTGGGTTTTACGGAGGGGGTTCCTCAATAGCGCACTGCCCGGGTCGCTGGCTGTGGGCTCCTTGTAGAGGGGCTGACGGTCAGAGATTTGGTTGGCACTGTATGCACGTCTCCTGCAGGATGCCTTCACATCTGAGTGGGGGGAGAAAGGGTCAGCATCAGTCCTCTCGAGGAGGATAAGGACATATTCAGCCCTGCTCGGTTCAAAGCAAAGCAGCAAAAGCGCAGAAGAAAACAAGAGCCTACACTCAAACCCCGGGGGATGTCAGGAGAGCTGGTTGGGGAGGCTTCGTCTGAGCAGTTTTCAGCCAGGAAAAAAAAAAAAAAGAAAGAAAGAAAGAAAAAGAAGAAGAAGAAAAAAAAGCTGACTGCATTTACCCAAACCTTCCTGGAGAAGACAAAGGGTTTACTAATGAAATTTCATTAGTGCAGACATTTTCCTGTCAGAGCAAGAGCAAAATTTCATTTGGAAACGTATGATTTCTCATTGTTTTTGACAAGGCTGAGAGGATGAGCTGCGCAGTTCCTCTCTGACTATCAGCAGAGGATATCCCACAGGTAGCAGAGGTTTCCCCTGCAGCACGGGCCGAAGCTGGGGCTGCTTTGGAAACCTCTGGGGAAGGCAGATCTCCAGGGCTGCCACCGGTTTCCTGACAGCTTCGGGTAAAACATCCGAACCAAACAGCCTCGTTGAGATGTGTCATCCTCCCACAAAGCCCTCTGACACTTTGCAGCTGGGGAGATGGAGCTGTCAGGCGAGCAAATTGGCAGAGCAGAGATGAAAGCTGGTTAGGAAGACAGGGGCCTGACCAGCATCCGTGTCTGATTCTCCGCTGGGGTCCCTGCCTGCCGCCAGCTGATCTGGGGTGCTGCATCCCTCTGGGTAGTTCCAGCTCTCAGCACCAGTCCCTTCTTCTTGGGAATGAAAGAAAACGGAGCTGCCCGACTCCTGGGAGCGCATGGTGCTGTACCGTCGCCTCTTGTCCTGCGGGGAGCAGAGATGGGTTTGTGTTTGTGCACTGGTGCCAAAGGGATCTCAGCCACGCAGGGAGCTCAGTGACGGTGGGAGAAGAGTGGCACTCACAGCTCTGGGTTTGGAGATGTACAGCGAGGTGTCACAGATGATGCTGTAGCCCACCAGGCGGTCCCCAGGGAAGAGGCAGCTGGTGTTGAGTGGGGAAACCAACACCTCGGTGCTTTCAGGGAAGACCCACTCCACTGACACATCACTCAGCACTGGGGCCATCGCCTTCTTCAGCGACCTGATCACCTGGGGTGGGGAGGAGGAGGAACCACACCAAAAGCTGTGAGGCTGAGCCATGAACCCCAAACCCTGTTGGGTTTGGTTGGGTTCGATGCCAGCACAAATAAATGGAGAGAGCAACACACTGCCCACCACCCCGATGGGGAAGGCCAACATCTGTGGGGACACGTGGACTGCAGAGCCATCCCTGCACACTGTGGGATGTCAGCATCAGATTCACAGCTTTGCATCTCCTGTGTTCCCTATTGTTCCCACTGCTTTGTCACCGGCTCTGGAAGATGCACCAGGCTGTTTTATAAGGCTATTAATTGATGCCTCAGACTGCTGAAGGCAAAGCACTATATTAATAGCTCTATTTAAAAAGAAAGAAAGAAAGAATGAAAGAAAAAAGAAATCACCTCCCTTCACTGTCTTTGCTTTTAATTTACATCAGAAACGCTGATGCTGTTCTGTCTTAGAGAGGATTCTGTGTGCTACAGGTCCCTGCAGAGGGACGGGGGCTGAAGCCCTTTGAGATGGATGCAGAGACAGAATTGAAGGACGTTTCTGAGCTGAGGACCCGATTGTCTCCGGGTTTGTCACACAGTGCATGCTTTTACCAGGAGACCGAGCCCACAAAGGACCATTCTTACAGCACAGCCTCAGCTTTCACGGGCAGAGCGAAAACGCAGCTCCCTCATTTGCTTTAAAGTCAGCTTAATAAGCAAAGCAACCGCAGCACGCTCCCCTCCCTCCAACCCCGGGTACTTCTCGCCTGAGCAGCGCCAGGGCTGAGCCTGACTTCAAAACTAATTGGCTGCTTTGATGCCGGCTCTCTGCCCTTCCTCTGCTCTGCGGCAGCAGCTGCTTTGAAGCCGGAGCGGCTGCACGGTGGCTATCGCCTCTCCCATCCCCGCGTGGGGTAAACACCTCCCACTGCCTCCGCCAGCGGAGAGGAGGATGCTCCCATCCCCTCCTGCTTGTCCACCTGCTGCCTAGTGGGAGCTGCAAAAGCAGCAGCAGCAGGAGGAGGGGAGGGGGGGGGGGGGGGAAAGGGGATTGCAACGTGATGGTTTGGAGAGGTGATGGCACGCGGCCGTACCTTGGGCTGCAGCCTCTCGCCCCCCACCAGGAACTCAGCGACGCCCCTGGACACAGCAGCTGCTCCCTGCACCAACCTCCTGCAGGCGTGGGGTCCAATGCCGAAGCTGTAGCACCTGCAAAGGGAAGAGAAAGGAGCTCCTCGTTTGGGTGGCTGGAGTGGGGATGGGAGCTGCTGGGTTGAATGGGGCTTTGGGCAGCCTGGGCTGGTATTAAATGGGGAGGTTGGTGGCCCTGCATGTGGCAGGGGGGTTGGAGATTCATGATTCTTGATGTCCCTTCCAATCCTGTCCATTCTGTGATTCTGTAGAAAGCATCACTGCCCATAACATGGGGTTGGGATTGGATGGGTTTTCAGATCCCTTCCAACCCAAAGCACTCTCTGATTCTCAGGTTCCATGAAGGAACAACACTCGGGGCTTGCCAGCAGGATCCCCAACTGCTCAGCTGCCAGGTCAGCTCCTCTCCACACTGAGTGCCTGCGGTCAATAGCATTAAAGAGCTAGTAATTATCTCTGCTCACAATTACAACAAACATTTTCTCAAGGCAAGAAGAACCAGCTGGGCGAGACTGCTGCTGTCACCCAACTCAGCAAGCCAAAGGCTGCAAACCAGGGGCAGGCAGAGGGAGAAAACACCCCCAGCAGCCATCTGCATCTGCACCAGGGGGCTTTTCTCTTGGAGGTTTTAATCCCCAGATGGCTGCAAATCTTCCACAGACTCACACCCTCTTAAAGAGGTTCTGATCTCCTTTTGAGCTAAGGGCTCAAAGCCCAGATTCCAGCACCAAGAGAGAGGGACAGGAGTCCTGTGCTGCTGAGAAGCACTCAGCTCTCCATAGAGGAAAGAAAGGAAAGAGCAGCTTCCCTGATCAGCTCTGAACTGGAGAGGAGTAAGGCTTTTTAATGCCTGATTCAGTGGTTGGCAAGCCTAACAGATTTGGAACTAAATGATCTTTAGGTTCCCTTCCAGCCCAAGCCATTCTATGATTTTTTTTCTATTTTCCTGATGTTTCATCTCTCTTAAAGAGATGGAGAAGAAATCAGACCATGAGGGCTGGGGAACGGGCTGGGAACTCGCCGCATTCATTTCCTGCTTATGCCATTGCTCTTTTTCAGCAAATTCAATTCCCATCCTGGAAGCAGCTGGGTCCAAGCCCAGATGTGCTTCAAAAATTAAAAAAAAAAAAAAGAAAAAAGGGAAAAAAAAAAAAAACAACAAAACCAAAACAGCAAGGAAGATTGCTGGTGTGTCAATCTCTCCTAGCAGGAAGCACCAGCAGAGAGCCTGTGAAGCTGTCAGCCCAAATCTCCTGTGCTTGATTGTTAGAAAAGCATCTGAACTTCTGGGATCCGTTCCAAACCCTTTGAGGTTCCGTGCTCCTGACACGGGCTGGGCTGTGAGCTGCAGCCCCCCAACTCTGTGCCCCATACCTGGTGGAACAGGCGTGATTCCGCAGCAGCTCCAGCACCATCCCTGTGCTGCCCACAGCCCTGTGAGACAGCAGGAAGAGCAGGCGGGGGTGGCCCCTGCGGATGGGCTGCCGGACAATCCACTTGAGAGGAGACAAGATGTTGGGGCTCCCAGTGTCTGCATGCATCCTCCTGATGCTCTCACAGGCCACGGCCAGGCTTTCCTGTGGGAGGAGTGTGGGATCGTCCATCTGACCCCCAGCTCCCATCCCATTCACCCAGCACTCACCTCGCAGTACGTCCTGCTGGCTGGGAATAGGATCTTGAAAGTGGAGCTGAAAGTGATGATGTTGAAGAGGCATGCTGGCATCAAGCTCTTGAGGGCCACCAACAGAGCATCCTGATGGAAGGAAGCAGTGGGTCAGCACGCCGTGCCTCTCCTGTCCACTTTGGCTTCATAGAACAGCTAGGTTGGATGGGATCTTAAAGCCCACCCAGTTCCAACCCAATGCCATGGGCTGGTTGCCACCCATGAGATCAGGTTGCCCAAACCTCACCCAACCCAGCCCTGAGCATCCCCAGGGATGGGGACCCACAACTCCTCCCATGGCAGTGCTCAAGGAAGGGATGCATTTAGTGGGCACAGTGGGATGGGTTGGGGTTAGACTTGGAGATCTTGGAGGTCCTTCTCCAACCTTAATGATTCTAAATCAGTTTCTTTCACATGATCTATGCTGAGAAATCTCTGCATATCGCTGCTCTCTTGCAAGTTCCCTAATGTTTTTTTTTTGGGTCCCGATGCAACGAGGACAATGGGGTGCTTCCAAAGAACAAAATCTCTGTTGCTCCAAAATGGTGAATTCTCTGCTCACCCCGCAGCACTGCAGCATGGAGTTGGGGGTGAGAAGCAGAGTGTGAAGCAGAGCCGTGCGACACATAATGCACTGCAGTGCCCGAACTGGCAGAAATAAACAAACAGCTTCGAGTCGCACAAAAGGAGAAGCCTCCCCCAGCCCCAACTCCCTTATAGCTGGCACAATTAAAATAGCAAGGAGAGGCTGCTTCCAGAACTTGTCATTACCAGCAGTGGTTATCTAACTCGCCTGCTCCTGGTCTCTTACATAAGGGGACAGAGCTTGGAGCTGCTGGGACAACCACCGTGGTCAACTCCACCAGCAAGCAGTGCTGCAGGAGGGGGAGCAGAGAGCTGGCAGGGCTGCGTGTGCTCTGATAAAGGCAGACTTCTGCATAGGGCAGCAGAAAGCCCAGTGCCAGCCATGGGAGAGGAGCTGCCAAGGTCACACCAGCCACCTCCTTGCTTCATCCCAGGGCAGGGCATGGGCAGAATGCTGTGTGGTCCACGAGTGGGGCTGCCCTTTAGCAGCTTTCACACCAAGCTGTTATCTCAAACCTACAGGGATGTATTTATATCGCTGCTCCCAGCAGGCTCTGGGGGTGCTGGCTCCTGCAGATCTGACATCGCGCCTTGGAACTCATTACAAAGATTAAATAAATTATTTAAAAAAAAAAAAAAAAAAGGCATAAAAAAAACCACCCAGATTTCCAAATATTTCTGTTAAAGCGCTTCCCGAAGTGAGCTCCCAAAGCCTGCCTTCTGTTTCATCAAGCAGAAGGATTTATTGCTTCTTGCAGTAAATATTGATCCTGATCCCGTTGCACTCTCTATCAATACGGCGGCTCAATAAGAAGAGATGTTTGCCTCCAGAGAAGTCAATTCCCAGTTATTTTGCCAGCTCGAGCAGTGCTGACGCAAGCACTGTCCCTTCTCCCTGCTGAAAGGGATCAGATGCAAAAAGCCTTGAACTTCCCACCTCTGGGGTCAGATTAGAGACCTCCTGCCCAAACCCAGCCCAAGTCAAAGAACACAGAGTGGATGCTTTGAAGCAAAGGAAACGGAGGGGGGGGGACCTGTGGCCTTCCTGGGGCTCGGTGCCATCCCTCAGGGTGACAGCACGCTCCTCATCGCTGGAGGTGGATGTCCTCAGTCAGTTCCCATGGAAACAGGAGGAGGTTGGGAAGGAGATGGGCTCGGAATGCTCCCTGCCTGCAGGCAGAGCTGCTGTCAAAGCAGGGATGCGGTGGCTCCGGGTGTTTGCACCCAAACCTGGTGGTAGGTGGGTTAGGGAAGGGTGTGAGCACATCATGGAAGCCTCTGCGTGCTCAGCACAGCACCCAAATGCAATCAAAGCCCCGAGGGATTCTGCAATCCCCTCTCACTCTCTGCAAGGAATACAGTTAGGGCAGTGTGGATCCATGCCCTGCTCAGGAGGATGTGATGTCCATTTGGGGCTCAGGTGGCCCCCAAAACCAAGAGAAACTCCATGCAGAGCTTCTGTCAGAGACTGCAGCTTCTCACCAACACCTGCCAGCTGGCAGCCAGCAGACACCAGCCTGCCTCCAACGAGTCAGGCAGTGCTAACAATAATTAAAGTTCCCACAGTGCTTTCCCCTTCACCAGGTCCCCAATGGGCTCAGAAACCTCTCCAGATCCCATGGGCAGCAGCACGAAGCAGAGCCAGGTCCCAGGAAGGATGAATGAGGGGTTGTCCTACAGCCTGGACAAACCCAAAGGGGTGACAGCAAGGGGACCTGACAGCTCCATGGGAACCCCAAAACATCCCAACCTTCCCATCACCCAGAGCACACTGCTCAGAACCCCACACCAGACCCACAGGCCCTCATTTGTGTTTGAAAATGGGATCATGCTGGCTGTGCCCTTGCAGACACCTCCATTTAGCCCTACAATTGGTCTCTGGATGCCTCAAGGCCCCAGGTACAGAGAGCTGAAGGATCATAGAACCACAGAGAGGGGTCCAGCAGCACAAACCTTGGCACGGCGGATGCTCGTGCTGCTCCCACTGCAGTCCACCAGGAAGATAAATTCTCCAGCAGCTTTCTGCAGGTCTGCTGGGGTCGTGCTGAGCTCGGGGCAGAAGTTCAGCATGAGGACAGGGTGGTGGGGGATGTCCTTGTGGAGGCGCTTCCGGATGATTTCCGTCTGCAGAGAAGAAGGAGAGGGTGTAAGAATTCAGGAGAGTGATTTTTCTGCCTCCTTTTTTTCATATAAAGGGAATTAATTGGCTGCTGGGTTTTCCCAGGCTCCCCAGGCTGCTTGCTGGGACTCAGGATCCACTCTGCAGCACTTGGGGATGTGGTTTATGGGCATGGGTTGACAGCTGGCCTGGTGATCATAGAATGGCCTGGGCTGAAAAGGACCACAATGCTCATCCAGTTCCAACCCCCTCCTATGTGCAGGGTCTCCAACCAGCAGACCAGGCTGCCCAGAGCCACATCCAGCCTGGCCTTGAATGCCTGCAGGGATGGGGCATCCATAACCTCCTTGGGCAACCTGTTCCAAAGCATCATCACCCTCTGAGTGAAAAACTTCCTCCAAGTATCTAACCTAGTTAGATTAGTGGTCTTTTCCAATCCTAATTGACGCTGTGATTCTGAGCAGCAGAAACCTGCCCCAGTTGTTGAGGGCTTTATCCAAAGTGTGCACCTCACCAGGGCTTTTTGCTCTATTTCTCATCCTCTGTGCAGTTTCTGCCCAGTCCTCCTGGGGCACAGAGGTGGCTTTCCCGCAGGGAAACGGTTCTGGAATGATCCTCCCCATGATAACTTGACATGCTAAAGACAGAAATAATTAGGGAGCCATGTGAGCCATGGCGTGGGAGGTTCATTTCGTTCCACCTGCCGCACGCTGAACGCAATTAGAGGAAGCGCCTGCCGTGCGAGCAGCCCGTCCTCATCACCGTGCTGCAAGGGGAAGGGAAAAGAGAAGGGGCTGCAGCAAAACGAAGAGCACCAGCAGCACGGGGAACAACCACGGAGCATCACCAGGTGTGCCCAGCCAGCCCCTGCTTCAGGGCTGTAAGCACTTGGGGGTCCTGCATGCAGAGCCCAGACGGCTCCCAGCAGTCCCCTCCTTTCCACCTGCTGCGTGGCAGGCAGGGAGCACTGAGATGTCACTCAGCTGGGGCTGCTGAGCCATAAATCCCAGAGCTGAGGTTTTTCTATTTGCTCGTCAGCAGAACAAAGAGAAGTTTCTACTACCTTGTCTTCGGCTGAGCTCGTTATTCCAAGCCAAATCACTTCCATCTCTCTGACAGCTTATCCAGAAACGGTAAACATTTACGGAGCAATTAAAAGAATACTTTATTCAATGTCACTGCAATAATTATAATACCGTTAATGCTATAATAATGTACCTACCTAATTATGCTATGCTAGAACAGCACTAATTATACACACAGCACCCATCTCACAGCCTCTTCCACACCCGGTTCATCAGAAGCAGTGCAGAATTTTCCCCTCCTCCTCCATATAAACCCCTCTCCAAGGGAGGATGCTGCAGTTATGGACAAGCACTGCAAGCAAGCAACCACATAATCACCCAGCTGAAGGAAAGCCTCGGCGCCTCTCACCTTTTTCTCAGCACTGGGGTCCTTCTTTGTGCCTTTAATGAAATCATTCTTCCCCTTCAAGTGCTGTTCGTACTCTGCAGGCGTCATATCACCTTCTTCCATCAGGATGTGAGGCTTGTGGGGCTCTGGAAATGCAAGAGAACCCCCTAGCTCAGTTCCAGCTTTGGAAGAGCTGCATGCACCCATGCTTGCGATGGCTTTTGAGGGAGTCTGGGGTTATCTTGGAGAAGTCTGACCCCTGGCAGTGTGTGCAAAACAGGGGCAGAGCCCACGTACCACTTGGGTGGATGAGGATCTCCACAGGTCGGTCAAATGTGTGCCTGTTGGCCAACGTGATGACGATGCTCTTTGCTGAGCAAGCGGAGGGGTCGGCATCTGCTCGGATCTCATGTGTGGGGCTCTCAACACCTGGATGGAGGGACCAAGGGGTGGGTAGGGAGGGCCCAAGGGGTCGGTAGGGAGGGCCATAGGACCCCACGCAGGGGGAAGGAAAGGAGGATGATGAGTGTGGGCATCATAGGCGGCCCCGTACCTGCCAGCAAGCATGGCCCCCTGATCTCCAGGTGGAAGCTGAACTCGTACTCAGAGGGGTTGGTGGCCTCGCTCTGCAGCAGCTGGGCCAGACAGAAACTGCTCCCAAGCTCTGGGCTCCCTGATGCGCAGCATTGCTTGTCCCTGCAAGTGAGGTGAACCCCAGTGAATGCCTGAGTGCTGTCTCCCTGCACCAGTCCCAACCAGAACCCATCTCGTTGTTCCATACATGCTCAGCTGGTGGCTGGAAAGGCTGCTGGTGTTTTCCAGGTTGGGCTGAGGGACCCTGGGGACACACACAGCTGGCAGGAGGACCCGCACGGCCCCGCTGGGCAGAGTCTGCAGCTCAGAGGAGGTGCTGATGAAGATGGAGACGCTTTCCAGGGGAGGAATCGTGCCCAGGTTGGCCACAAAAGCAATCCTCTCCAAGTCCTCATCCATCACAATCCTTCCTGCAGAGAGAGACAGCCGTATTAGGGTGTCACAACCACAAAAAATGCCATTCCCTAGGCCTCCCAAAGTCACCCCAACCCTGGACCAAATGCCCACGCCAGCCTTCCTCTCTAGGGAACCCAAACCACAGCCCTCTGCATTACCATTTTGGCAGATGCCATATGGATATGAGTCCCCTTGACGCCACGACACATGACAGCCACCCACTCTCTACCACCTCCCCTTTCCCTTGGCTCCCTGTGTTCCCCAAAAGGCTCCAAACTCTCTCACCACCCCCGCTGGGAGCTCCTCCATCAGGGAGGCTGATGCTGTCCAAATACACGTCGTCAATCTTGGCTTTGTCCTTTATCTGCACGGTCACAGCACGCTGGCAGATCACTGCCTCAAATCCCACAACAGTGGTGCCTTCATCCAGGGGGAAGATGAAGAGCCCTGCCAGCCAGGAGGGTTTTAGCAACACCAAGCCCTCATCCAGAACCCATCAGCCTTGGGTTCTCTGGAGGAGCTCAAGGTCAGGCTGGATGAGGCCCTGGGCAGTGTGATCTGGTGGGGAGTACTGGGGGTTGGAATTGAGTGGGCTTAAAGATCCCTCCCAGCCCAACCATTCAATGCTTCTGATTCATGAACAAGAAGAGCCAAGTGCTGCACTGGGGAGGAACAAGCACAAGATGTGCTGGGGGATGCAGCTGGAAATGGCAAGGCAGGAACCAATGGACACCAAGGTGACCACAAGCCAGCACTGTGCCCTTGCTGCCAAAGCAGCCAGCAGTATTCTTGGTTGCATCAGGCACTGCCAGCAGGTCGAGGAGCTGACCCTGCCACTCTGCTCTGTGATGGGACACAGGGACACACAGAGGTGGTGGGATTGCCATCCATGCAAATCTCCAAGCCCATTTGGACATGATTCTGGGCACCAGCTCCAGGTTTCCCTGCAAGGGCTGGGTGGGATCAGAACCATTCTATGATACCCAATTCACACTTCTCCAGTCGTACCCTTTAGGCCCACATCACTTTGCATTTGCAACCACGGGACACGACTCCCACAGCAACACGTGCTTCACTTGCCTTTGCAGGGCTGTGCCTGCAGGTTGCAGTAGGTGAGTGATGCTGTCATGCCCAGGGCATATCCACTGACACAGGATGTCACCTCGGAGGCAGTGAGCAGCAGTGGGCAACGGGAGCTCTGGTTGATCAGCCCTGGCATCTTCACCACCACGCAGTGCTTGGGAAGGAAGAACCCACGAGAGGAGCCTGGAGCACCACGTGTCCTCCTTGTGCCTTCACAGCCCTGAGGGCAGAAGGAGAGGTGAGTTCTGATCACCACATCCCCGCCTGCACATCTCACCCACTCAAGCTGGGGCAGAATGGGCCAACTTCAGCCTTCCCTCCACCCTGCAGTGCCACCGTCCCCAGGGAAGGCTCTGCCCCCCCCCTCTCCACACCATGACTCATCTCTGGCTCAGCAAAGCTCAGTTGTAAAGCTTCTGCCAAGCGCCGCAACCCTTCCCCTGGAGGTTCTGCTCCGTGCTCCCATCCCCGGCGTGTTTCCTCCCCTTCCAGCACAGGCACAGCGCTGCGGGAGACGCAGCATCATTTCCAGCCAGCTGACGCATAGGTGCTCGGGGCGAGATAACAGAGGGCTGGCTGCACCGCAGGGCTGGCCGCACCGCAGAGAGGTGGCAGAGGGCATCGGGATATTAGGAAGTAATTAAGCACCAGATGGGGGAGGAAGGAGGGGGAGCGCTTTGCCTTAGGGAAGTAAGGGAGAAATGAGCAGGGGAAGCGAGGAGTGGAGAATTCATTTCTGAGAAGGTGAATTCAAGTCCCACCGGGGGGACAGCAGCAGTGTCCCCATGCCGAGGAGGTTGGCACAAGCTGCAAGCCCCATGCTTGGGCTCAAAGCCCCGTTGGCGGGGCCACAGCTCCCAGCTATCACCGCCGCGGGTTGCTGCAGCCTCACAGCCGCTGGCCTGGCCCCAGCGGGACGGATCAGAGCCGCATCAGCAGCACCGTAATCCCATCCGCGTGGGCTCGGATGGAAGTCACCACCCGTCCGGCCAAGCTCAGCCGCAGCGCACAGCGGTGACACCGCAGGGCCCCTCACAAAGCGCCGGGATAAACCCCCTCCCCCCCCTACTTGGAGGACGGCTGTTGTGCAAAGGGTTCAAAATATTCCTCCGGCTTCGTTTGCATCAATCAACACTGACATCCAGCGGCTCGCAGCCCGCTTACAGCCTCGCAGCCGGCCGCGCTTTGCAGGGATGTGCGCGCACAGCCGGCCGGCCGCCTGTTGCACCGATGCGGTGTCGGGGCTCACGCAGCACCTCGGGGAGCCGCAGCGATGCCGTTCAGCCTGGCAAAGCCCGCACACGCAGCCGGCGTGCCGCTGCTCCTTACCTTGCCTGTGAGGAGGAGGAAGGTGGGGCGAGCAACTTCTCCCCTTCTCCTGCGGCTCGGGAAAGGAATCACGCAGGCAGCGCTTCACGCCGCTCTGCCTCTGGAAGGCACGGGGAGACGGAGACGAGGAGGGAGAGAACAGGGGAGGAGGGAGCGGGGTGACCGAGGCACGGACACACGCAGACGGACGCAGGTCCGGGAGCCCGTGGCAGAGCGGAGCCGTGCGGAGGTAACCATGACGATGATGCTCCCGCACCGCTGCCTTCGCCTCCGCCTCCCGCGGTCCCTCTCCGGCCCTGGGGACGCGATGCGGAGCCCGCAGGGACAAGAAGGGTCCGCGGGGTGCCACGGCAGCGCCCTGCCCCGCTGAAGGGTCCCGCTGGGGCTGCCCCACAGGCGCTGCTGTCCCGATAGGACACGTGGAGCGGGGATGGGGCGCGCGGCTCCTCCGTGTCCCGGCCGCTTCCACGGCCCCGTTTTCCCTCTCTGCGTCTCCGTTTCGAGGATGGAAACTGCAAATGTCACAGCTGTGCCCTGAGCCCCAGCTCGCACATGGACACACGTATGGGGGAAGCCCTCCCTTCTGCAGCAGCTCAGCAACAACAGCACAAAACCAACCATCCCAAAGCCGCGTGAGCCCACCTCGCTCCGTTCTCTCGAGCTTTCCGGGGTACCCCAGCACTGCGTGCCTTGGGAGCGGGGCTCACCCCGCACCGTGACCCCGACCCCGCAGCACAGCGTGGGACCGACCCCACTTCACGCACAATCACTGAATAGGGCTGACCCTGCAGTAATACATCAGGACAGGGCCCCACACCTGTGGGGTAGGTGTAGGGTAGGGGCACGGCCTGACCCCAACCCGGTGCTCCCTCCTAACCATCCCCCCTCCGCCTGGGCGCGGGGCGGAACTTCGCTCCCCCGGAACTACAGTGCCGGTGTCGCCGCCCCCCAACCGGAAACGGAACAACACCGCGCATGCGCCCTTCCCGCGCCCGGCGCCATTGCGGTGCTGGCGGCGCGGCCCGGCCCGGCCATGGCCACCGACTCGTGGGCCCTGGCCGTGGACGAGCAGGAGGCGGCGGCGGAGTCGGTGAGGCCTTCCCCCTCCCTACACACACACATATACGCACACACACCCTCCTACATCCCCCTCCCTGCCCCGCAGCCGGGCTCACCGTGTGTCCTTATTGCAGCTGAGCACTCTGCAGCTGAAGGAGGAGAAGGCCAAGCCCGACGCCAATGGTGAGCGATGAGGGGAGGGCGGGCTGGGCGCTTCCTGAGGTTCTCAAGCCTAAAGCTCGCCCTCCTCGCTCCCCCCAGGTGCCGTGCTGAAGGCGGACGACAACGTGGAGAGGACGGAAGATGAGGAGAAAGGTGGGTGAGCGCTCAGAGTCGCCGGATCCTTGGGGATATATTGGGAAAACCCCACGTGTGGTCGTTCGGGTTTCATTCTGCTGCCGTTCATCCTCACCCCGTGCAGTATTTTGGCCCTGGAACCTTCCCAAGTGCTGTTTCCTCGTGCTTTTCTTTCCTCATTGGGCTGTCGGTGTCAACCTTAATGATGGTATGGAAAATAGGGAAGCCCTAAAAGCCACCTGCCCCCATGCCAGCAGACAGCGGGGTGTTCAGCCCTGCTTCCCAGCTAGATGCTGAGCTGTAGGAACTGAAATGAGTTCAGCCCTGAGGTCTCCATTCGGCCTTAAAACTCTGCCAGCTTCACTTTGTGAGGCTTAATGTGAAGTGTGAACCTGTGAGATGTCCTGGCATTCAGGAAGTCTGGGCTGTCTGCGGGGGGGGGGGGGGGGGGGGGGGCGGCGGGGGGGGGGGGGGGGGGGGGGGGGGGGGGGGGGGGGGGGGGGGGGAATTTGGGTCTTTCCTTCCTTGGGTAGAGCAGCATCAAACCAGAAGCAACACCTGCGATGGCTTTTCCAACTCCCTTTTGGCAGAGGACCGAGCTGCCCAGTCCCTGCTGAACAAGCTGATCCGCAGCAACCTGGTGGACACCACCAACCAGGTGGAGGTGCTGCAGCGAGACCCCAACTCACCGCTCTACTCTGTCAAGTCTTTCGAGGAGCTGCACCTGTAAGTGCCAACGTGAGCTGTGTGTGATAGATTCATGTAGCAAGAGGTGGTCGTGTGGGGTTGTTGTCGATTAGATAGGTGATCTCAGCTTTACTGCAAGGGAAAACAGACCTGCTGTGACTTCACACTGGTGTTGTTCTGCTTCCTTAACCTTAGTGGCTGGATGTATCCCAAAAGGCAGAGCTCCTGTAGCACCCGTCAGACTAACTCCTGTCTTTCAGAAGGCAAACGGTGTGGGGGAGTTAGGGATGAGGCAGCTGGGCTAAGTGAGCCCTGTGTTGTGACTTGGTGCAGCCTTAGCAACTGTGTCAGAGCTGGGCTTGGCATGTCCTTGAGCAGTGCAAGGTTACCTTTCAAAGGGCTTTTGTTCCAGCCGTCCTCTGAAAGTGATACCGTCTTTTCAAGCAGTGTGTTGTGCTGAGCAGTGGGAAGTGGTGGGCAGAACAAGTGCAACCTGCTTTGAGTAGAGCACTGCTTACTGCTAAGAGATCACTGCCACCATGACCTGAGTTTCAGGTTGGATTAGTGGACAAGATTAGTGGCCTCTATTCCAGGATGGCCAGGATTGTCTGGAAAGCTGCTTTAGAACATGCAAGAAGCACAGCAGCAGCCTCTGGAGCTGTGATACGAGGTTTTCCATGTTGAAAGGCAAGCATCCAGGTTGGCTTAGTAAATTGAGGGTTGTTTTTTTGGTAAAGCTTCTGTTCCAAAGAGCACTGTGCTGCTGCTTGCAGCTTCCTGCCACTGATGGTGCCATGCAGCAGTGCAATCCCAGCAGGGATGCAGATGTCGAGGTCTGGCTGCAAGGTTTTTCTTGCCCTTTGGGATGGTGTAGCTGCTTGCCTCTAAGATATTCCAAGGCAAAGCTTAAGAGAGAACCCCTCTGTTTCCAGGAAACCACAGCTCCTGCAAGGAGTCTATGCCATGGGCTTCAACAGACCATCAAAGATACAGGAGAACGCCCTGCCCATGATGCTTGCTGAACCGTACGTACATGTGCCTTTCTGCTTCCTCACAGTGTAGGAAAGGTCTGAAAGATTTTCCTTTCAGAGAGGGGAGGACAGTGCTGGGGCTGAGGGGAAAGGATGGAGCAGTGCCACATCTCAGAGCTGTGGGAATGGCTCAGCCTGCACTTGCTCTCCCCCAGCGTTGTGGGGTGGTTCGTTTTCCTGAGCTCATGCTGATGTTGAACCCTGCTGTGTGTCGCAGCAGCCCGCAGAACCTGATTGCACAGTCTCAGTCTGGTACTGGCAAGACAGCCGCCTTCGTCCTCGCCATGCTCAGCCGTGTTGAACCTGGGAACAAGTACCCACAGGTGAGCTGTAGCTCCCAAATACCCACAGGTGGGTTGTAGCACAGGTGAGCCCTTCTGTGGGGGCTTGGGGTGGTGCAGAGACTCCCTACCGAAGGGCCTGGACTTCTGTTGAGGCTTTTTAAACCCAATTTCCTTGTGATATAGTTGAGCAGTGTTACTGAAGCCTGAATTCTTTCCTTAAAAAAAATCCTGTTGGTGTTGGTTGTCTCATGGTCATTATTCCTCTGTCCCCTCCAGTGCCTGTGCCTTTCCCCGACGTACGAGCTGGCACTTCAGACAGGAAAAGTGATTGAACAGATGGGGAAGTTTTACCCGGAGCTGAAGCTTGCATATGCTGTCCGAGGCAATAAATGTGAGTAAGCTGAAACACCACCAACAGACTGCAAATGAAAATAATTTTCCTTGGGTTCAATACAGCACTGGAACGTAATGATTTTTAAACATCTGTACAGAATATGAATTTGATGTAACGAGAATTAACTTATTGGGTGTCCTGGGACAACGATGAATGCCTGTGGTTTTACCATGGTTTATTCCTTAGCTCAATCTGAGCTCAGTAGGAGTTATAGTGTGGCTGATCTCAGAGCTTGACGGGTGGCTTTCTGTCTCAACAGTGGAGAGAGGTCAAAAGATCTCAGAACAGATTGTAATTGGCACACCTGGCACTGTGCTGGACTGGTGCTCCAAGCTGAAGTTCATAGATCCCAAGAAAATCAAAGTGTTTGTCTTGGACGAGGCTGACGTGATGATAGCAACCCAGGGCCATCAGGATCAGAGCATCCGCATTCAGAGGTAAGCATTACAGAATTACAGATATTGTGTAACACAGGGGCAGCAGGGCTACATTCTTGGCCTGGTGACTTCCACAACAAAGCAACAAGATTAAAACAATACCTTTAGCTCTAATCCTGGCATCTGATAGAGGCAGAATGCTATGGAAAGATGAGTGGTTGCAATTTTCTTCTGGAATAAGCCCCAGAGCATGGCTTTATTCCTTTTTTTTTTTTTTTAAGAATGTGAGCCTGTAAGATGTGGGAATGATCAGGTGTTGATGAGAGAAGCATGAGGCTTTGCAGCCACTGAAATAACTGGCTCTGAGGTTGTCGGTCTGCGTTGCCTGGGGCATCCATCCAGCAGGAGATTCCAGGGTGCCACGTGGGAATGCTGCTCACTTTGCTCTCTCTTGCAGAATGCTCCCCAGGGACTGCCAGATGCTTCTGTTCTCAGCCACTTTTGAAGATTCTGTATGGAAATTTGCTCAAAAAGTTGTTCCTGACCCAAACATTATCAAGCTGAAGAGAGAGGAGGAGACGCTGGACACTATTAAGCAGTATTATGTTCTGTGCAATAGCAGAGATGAGAAGTTCCGTGCTCTCTGTAATATCTATGGTGCTATCACCATTGCCCAGGCCATGGTCTTCTGCCACGTGAGTCCTTTTGGGGAAAGTTACTTCCAGCAACCCCATTGGCCAGGTGTCCTTTTCAGAATGGAACCCAAGGAAGGGATGGGGAAGTCTTACAGTTCATCTGATATGTAGCTCTTCTTGGCCCTCAAATTTGGTAATTGCTGTCATATGTGAGGGGTTTCTCTGTGAGCTACACCAAAGCTTTTCCCCTGGAAGCCACCATAGATCTGAGAAAAAGCAGTGCAGATAGCTGTACAGAGCTCTGCTGCTGAAGCTCAGACAGGATGGAACCTCTACTGTCTGCTGCAGCAGCCTGCTTTTCTGCTGCCTCCAGGTGTCACACATTGCCAGAGTTCAGAAAACCAATTGGAAACAGTTTAATTCAACACTGTGTAAAGCCTCTGTTGGCTTTCCCAGCTTCTTCCTGCTCAAACGTTGCCCCTTTCCAAGCTGAGTAGTTTTGTTTTAATGACGATGGTTCTGAGACTTCAGCATATGTACACAATGCAAGTCTCGCTTGTAAAGTGGAGTAAAACTTCCTCCCAACAATGACAGGCTTTGCTTTGTGTTTCAGACCCGGAAGACAGCTGGCTGGCTGGCAGCAGAGCTCTCGAAGGAAGGCCACCAGGTGGCACTGCTCAGCGGGGAAATGATGGTGGAACAGAGAGCCGCGGTGATAGAGCGCTTCCGAGAGGGCAAGGAAAAGGTGCTGGTGACTACCAACGTCTGTGCCAGAGGTAAGGCAAGGCAGAGCTGTGCCAGGAGGGGCAGAAGCAGTGCTTCATTCACATCGCTGGTCGGTTTGCAGAAAGCATTTCTATCCTCAAGTTCCACCCCAGACAAATGAGGGTCCTAAGGTGACTTTGAGCAGTTCAGACTCTTTTCCATTAGCCATGCTGGTGGGGTTCTCTATGCTGATAGCTGGATGGCTTGTATGTCAAAGTACCTCAGAAATATCTTGTGAAGAAGGTTTATTTCCAGCTGCAC